TTGACCGCACCGTCAACATCAAGGAAATCTGCTGGAATCTCCAGAATATTCGGGTAAAAGAGGAGGGGGTGCGTGGAGGTGGAGCAGCGTAGGCTGCCCTCGGCGCCCCTGGCCTGACCCTCAAAATCAGCCCGTCTTTCCCCCCACTTGGGCGGGCAGGGCAGGGAACAGGGCCTGGGCTCTGGGTCAGGCAGGTGCCCTGTACAAGGGTGGAGAGGGGGCTGTCAGCCTCACCAATGTGTCTGCCCCCCATGGCCTCTTTCCCCCCTAGCTGCGGGACTGTGAGCTGAGCCCCGGGGTCAACCGGGACCTCACACGCCGGGTCCGCAACGTCAATGGCATCACGCAGCACAAGCAGATCCTGCGCAACGACATCAAGCTGGCGGCCAAGCTGATCCACGCCCTGGATGGCCGGACCCGCCTCTGGGGGGCTGCCGAGGAGGCCCAGCTGCCCACCCCGGTCTCGGTGAGTCTCTGGGAGGCCTTGGGGGGGGGGTCATCGGCAGACAGGCAGTCCTCAACGTACGACCACAATTTCCATCGCTAAGCGAGGCGGTTGTTAATGAGTTTTGCCCCATTTTCCCACCTTCCATGCCACGGTGCTTAAGTGAATCGCTGCGGTTGTTAAGATAGTAACCCAGTTGTTAAGTGAACCTGGCTTCCCCTGGACTTTCCTTGGGGGATCATGTGACCCCAGGACCCTGCGGCCGTCATAAGTATGAGTCGGTTGCCAAGTGCCCGAATTTTGATCACACGACACAGGGATGCTGCAACGGTCATACATGGGAGTAATAATCGTCATAGGTCAATTTGTTGTAACAAACTGTTGTAAGTCGAGGACTGCCTGCACGAGGACAGGGTCTCTGCCCGCGGGAGGGGGCTGCGGTTGTGGCAGTTGCCACCGGGCCGAAGCTCCGGAGGGGTCGGGGCTGCCCCTCACCCCGTGCCCCTCCTCTCCCAGAACCTGCCCTCCCAGAACCCCATCCTGAAGAACATCACCGACTACCTGATCGAGGAGGTCAGTGCGGAGGAGGAGGAGCTGCTGGGCCGGAGCGGGGAGCCCTCGGAGGAGGCTCCCACAGAGGGGAACCCGGCCGAGATCACGGTGGAGAGGGACGAGAAGCTGGTCAAGGTGAGCCCTGCCCAGGAGGATCAGCGATGGCCGTCCCCCCCTCCCAGGGGGGGCCCGGCAGGTGGCTGAGCCTCTCTCCCTTCGGGGCCCCCACAGGTGCTGGACAAGCTGCTCCTCTACCTGCGCATCGTCCACTCGGTCGACTACTACAACACCTCCGAGTACCTCAACGAGGACGAGATGCCCAACCGCTGCGGGATCATCCACGTGCGGGGCCCCATCCCCCCCAACCGTGTCACTCACCGCGAAGGTACCTCTCGCGCCTGACCCTCTGCCCATCAGTCCCGTATCCTGGACGGACCCCCCTCCGCTCTGCGGCTGCTTTTAGAAAGACACAACGGCAGTCCTCGGCTTAATGACTGCTGTTGTTGCGGCCAGAATTTCTGTGGCTGTTAAGGGAGATGCACCTGATCCTACAGCCTTTTTTTTTTTATAACCACAATTGGTCAGCCAAATCACTGTGGTCGGTAAGTGGATCCGGCCCTCATTGAGCGAATCGGGCTTCCCCGCGTCAATTGTGTTGGCTGGGAAGGCTGCAAATGGCAGTCAGGTGGCAGCCCTGATGCAGGCATGCCGGTTGGCAAATGCCCAAATTTTGATCATGTGACTGAAGGGGCCACAACGGCCGCAAGTGCGAGGATGGCAGTAGGTCCTTTTTTCGGTGCCGTTGTAACTTTGAACGGTTGCTGAACAGAGAGCGGTTAGCAACAGCCCTTAGACTTATATATCGCTTCACAGCGCTGCTTTACAGCCCTCTGAGGGGTTCTTGGAAACCCCCCCCCCCAACCATCTGGGTCCTCAGTTTACCCACCTGCCAAGGATGGAAGGGTCTGAGCCAGCCTTGAGCCGGTTGGGATCGAACCTCTGGCAGCTGGCAGTGATTTAGCCGTCGACACCGCTGCCTTCTAACCGCCGCAGCCCCAGGGCTCTTGGTGGGAAGAAGTCAGGGACTCCCTGCAGCGCGTTCCACGTCGGGTGGGGAAGGGGAGAGGGGCTGTGGAACCCACCTGTTCCCGTCCGAGAGGCCCCCGGCCCCAAACGGGGTCTGCGGCCAGAATTGGAATCTGACCCTCTTCTGCCCCGTGGGTGGTGCGGTGGTGGGGGCTTTGGGTCTGGGGTGGGAGCGACCGGCCAGACGTTGGCGCTGGTGGACTCTGGACCCCCAGACGGACCCCTTGCCTTCCCAGTGGCCGAGTGGCAGAAGACCTTTGAGGAGAAGCTGCAGCCCCTCTTCAGCGTGCGGGAGTCCCTGTCGGAGGAGGAGGCGCTCAAGATGGGCAAGAGGGACCCCGAACAGGAAGTGGAGAACTTCGTCACCGCCAACACGCTGGAGCTGGGCAAGGACAAGTGGCAGTGCCCGCTCAGCGGGAAGAAGTTCAAGGTGCGCCTCCTTCTTCCCCGCTCCCTTCCCCGGGACTCCGTCCCCTTCCGGGCAGCCCGGCCCCTGACACCCCCTCCCTCTGTCCCCCCGCCAGGGACCCGAGTTCGTGCACAAGCACATCTTCAACAAGCACGCCGAGAAGATCGAGGAGGTGAAAAAGGAAGTGGCCTTTTTCAACAACTTCCTGATGGACGCCAAGCGGCCGGCCCTGCCCGAGTTCAAGCTGAACCAGACACCCGTCCCTGGGCAGGGTGAGTTGGGGGGGGGGCAGGCCTTCGGGTCCCTACCGGAGTTCTGGGAGTGGGTGAGCCCCCCCTCCCTAGCCAGCCCCACATCTGGACGCCGCAGCCTCTGCTCTCAGCACATCGGCAGCCTAAAAGAGGGGCGAGGAGCAAGCTGGGGAAACGGCCTCTCTGCCCGGCTGGTTCCTCCGTCCCCCGTCCCCCCCTTGCCCCCACAGGCGGCTTTTCTGGCGCTCCTCTGACAAGGGCCAAACGCCTCCCTTTGCCCTCCTCAGGACTGGCCCCGGGGCTGCCCTACCCACCGCAAGCCCCTCAGGGACTGATGCCCTACGGACAGCCACGCCCGCCCATCCTGGGATATGGAGGTACGTGGGGCAGCTCCTCTCCTGGGCAGCGGAAGGCAGGGTGGGTCTCCCTTCCCCTAGTGGGCCTCCCACAGAGAGCCTGGGCTCCGCGTCCAGGACCCCACGGAGGGGACCCTAACGTGGGCAGGGCTGCGAGTTGGGTTCGGGGCCACCAAGTCTGGTGTACTTAAACACACGGCTCTGGAGTTTCCATCTGTTATGTGTAGTAGGTGTTTTGTCCAGAAAGGTGTAGAACAGGGGTCTTCAAACTTAGCCACTTTAAGACTTGTGGACTTCAACTCCCTGAATTCCTCAGCCAGCCCTCAGGGCTGGCTGAGGAATTCTGGGAGTTGAAGTCCACAAGTCTTAAAGTGGCCAAGTTTGAAGACCCCTGGTGTAGAATCTGGACTAGTTGATCTCCAAGGACCCTTCCAACTTTTCTAGTTATTCCCATGATTTCTCCTTGTCTCTTCCAGGTGGTCCTCCCTACCCCCCGGCCCCATATGCCGCCGGGCGGGGCAACTACGACACCTTCCGAGGGCAGGCTGGCTATCTGAATAAACCACGGAACAGGTAGCTACAGGGAAGCCTTCCTCTCCCCTGTCTGAGAGGCAGGGCTGGGTCCCCAACCTGCGTGGGGCAGGAGGAGTGGGCCGCTCACTCCGTCCGGCCCTACAGTCCGAGGCTGCATGAAGAGGGGTAGACTCCAGATCATGTGAAGTGTGTTAGTTCCACTTTATAAAGCCTTGGGGAGACACCACTTTGAATAACGGATCCAGTTTTGCTCACCACAATAGAAAAAAGATGTTGAGACTCTGGAAAGAGTGCAGAGAAGAGCAACAAAGAGGATCAGGGGACTGGAGGCCAAAATGTACAGAGAGCAGATGCAGGAATTCAGTTATGTCCAGTTTAATGACATGATTGGGGTGTTCCAATATCTGAGGGGCTGCCCCAAAGCAGAGAGGAGTTTCCACCTGTTCCCCAAAGCACCTGAGGCCCGGGACAGGAAGCAACGGATCAAAGAGAGAAGCAACCTGGAACTAAGGAGAAACCGCCAATTAGCCAATGGAACAGCTTGCCACCAGATGTTGTGGGCTCTCCATCACTGGAGTCTTTTAAGAAGAGACTGGGCAGCCACTTGTCCAAAAGGGTGTAGGGTCTCCTGCTTGATCAGGGGGGGTTGGACTAGAAGACCTCCAAGGTCCATTCCAACTCTGTTGTTCTCTTCCTCCAGGATGGTCCGAGGAGACCCTCGCGCCATTGTGGAGTACCGGGACCTGGACGCCCCTGAGGATGTGGACTTCTTCTGAGCCCCCCACCTCGGCTTCACGTCGTCCCATCCCCCCTCCCTTGCTTTTTTTTTAAGAACCCCCTCCTCCCGCTCCCCCCTCCCCGTCTGTGTGAAGCCAGGTCAGCACCCGGGTCGTCAAGACCTCCGTCCGCCGGTTTTATGTGTTTAGCTGTGTTTCGATTTCAATAAAACCTCCCCTTTTCCCAGGCTCCGTTTGCTCGCCGTATCTTGTGGGTCCATGTGTGAACGCAGGCCTCCCCGGCCGGGTGCAGGTGTGTCTTGAAGCTGCACCCTGCTTTCCCCTCCCAGTCTGCTGGGGGTGCTTGGGACTGGAGGCCGCTGAGCAGAGCCCCCGTTCGCCCTTGAGAAGTTGTGCATCTCTCGTTTGTGTGATTTAGATCGGAATCGCATGCTTTGCCTCTCTCCCTGGTGCACATTGGATCGTTTGAACGCTGGCTTGCAGTGTTGAACATGGTCTAGACTAGAGCAGGAGTGGCAGACAGTGGCCCCTTGTAAGACTTGTGGACTTCAACTCCCAGAATTCCTGGTCCAGCCATGCAGGCTGGGGAATTCTGGGAGTTGAAGTCCACAAGTCATAAAGGGGCTGAGGTCAGACAATCCTGTTTTAAATGAATAAATAAAATCTGGAAAGCCATCGAAAGTGCTTCTCCTCCTGCGCTGAGCTCACAAGCGCTCGTTTGCTTTCTTCCTTCATCGATGAATTGATGGTTATGACACCATGGGCATCTTGGCCTCCACTCTGCCGTGGCTGGCTGGGGAATTCTGGGAGTTGAAGTCCATAAGTCTTAAATTTTGCCAAGGTTGGAGTCTAGAGATTACAAGCATTCACACACAGCCACACCGGCTTGGGATACTTTTTAATAACAGAATACAGCGAACCGGTTTTGACAAGCACGAGTCTTGGCAGGTGCCATCGCCTTTCCTGGATCCCGTGCCAAAGCCGCAGCCACTCAACCCCAATCCGACCTGGCCCAAGGAAGGTGCGTCGTGGGCACAACTGCTGCTGGGTTCACTGCCCGGAGCCCCTGAGCTCCCGCCACACTTCCTCTATCCTCTCCCTAGGGACCCCGTGGACCACCAGAGACCGCTGATAGGTGGTGAGGTGGTCCTGCATCTTCTCCCAGGTCCGGAAGTCTCCGCTGTGCTGATGGGGCAGCTGGGCAGCCAAGGCTAGGAAGCCCCAGTAGGCACCACAGAGAGGGAAGGTGGGCAACCCAAGGGAGGCCTGATAGAGGGCAGGCAGGGCGGCGCCGGGCACCAGGAAGCCCTTTTCCGAGGCAAAGTGTGGGTAGTGGGCCAGAGGGAAGAACGAGAGAGGGATGGCGTCCCGCCCGATCCTCTTCACGGCAGGGTGGAAGTGGATGTAACCGTGGATGAAGTGGGAGGCGTTGGGCGTCTGCCGGAGGAACTTCGTCAGGGCCGCGGGATTCACAAAAACATCTTCCTCTCCTGCAAAGCAAGACCAGGCGGGCAGGCTGCCGTTTCTCAGGCTGTGGTGGTTATAAAGCTGGCACTCCCTACTGAGGTTCAGAGGACTCCGGCGTAAGGAGGGGACGGTGCCAGGCGACAGGCTCTGCCCTCTGAAGGGGCTGCAAGCATGATGGCAGGGCTGTCCTGCCTTGGCAACTTTAAGACCTGTGGACTTCAACTCCCAGAATTCCCCACCCAGCTTTTTTTTTTTTTCACTTTACTGAAGTCAAGATATATTACATCTACTGCAGCGGTTCTCAACCTGTGGGTCGGGACCCCATTTGGGGTTGAACGGCCATTTCACGGGGGTCGCCAAACAACGCAGTCCGCCATTTTTTCCCCCCTTTTCCTTAGCTGTGCTCCTCCCTTTTATTCTATTGGCTTTTGAAAGCCAATAGAATGGATTCTCTTGAATAGAGTCTAATTCTATTGGCTTTCAAAAGCCAATAGGAATTGTCCAGGCTGTCTCTGCCCTGCTGAGCCCGCCAAAAGTCCCCTTCTGCAAACGGGGCTGCACCAGTTGAGTAGTCCTGGACTTACGACCGGTTGAGTAGTCCTCGACTTACGACCGGTTGGGGGTCGCGGCATTAAAAAGGTTGAGAACCACTGATCTACTGCATTCCCACTATCTATTGAGAAAGTTACCCTATCCAAAAAAAAAAAAAAAAAACGTAACAAGGTAGTCTAGCCACATTTGTCCTATCCCTATTGTTCTGGGAAACCTTTGCTGTCTGGGGAATTCTGGGAGTTGAAGTCCACAAAGTTGCCAAGCTTGGACAGCCCTGGATTATGGGGAAATGCATGAAACATTGACCTTCAATTTTTTTGTCAACTTGGTTGACCCTCGCTGGACACATCTTGCTCAGCAGCACTAAACTGGGTTTGCCTCCAAAAGATGTGAGGAGCCCTTCACCCTCCCTGCAGGGTCTCCTGGGGGGTGAGCACAGAAGCCCACTCCCCTGCTGCCCTGGGCAGCTTACCTTTGAAGACGAAGGCCGCCTGCTGGCAGTGCCCGTGCGCCCACCGGAGGAAGCAGCGTTCCTTGAGCGACAGGTTGTGGTGGGACTCCACAAAATCCCACATCAGGATGTCGCCATACACGCGGCTCTCCTGCGCCACCAGCTCCAGGTGCTTCTGGTTGAAGGTGGACCCCATGAGGAAAAGGGGCTGCAGCCGGAAGCCCCCCACCTCCGCCGGCCGGGCCCAGGTGCGGCGCAGGGTGGCCCTCATGCCTCCAGAAACCGGGTGGGATTTGATGGTCAGGAGCAGGAGAGGCGCCTCGGAGGATCCCTGGCACACGTCGTCCCGGGCAATCACCTCCTGGCACTGGTAGAGCTGCAGGTGAGGGAAGTGGGCTTCGTAGCCGCTCCAGTTGAAGTAAAAGGTGAAGGTGCCGTCGGTCAGGGCTAAGGTCGCAGGCAGGGGTGGGGAAAGGAACCACTTCCTCACGGCAGACGAGACCAACAGGACAGCTGCCAGCCCCAGGCACCACTTCGACACGAAGACGTGGCTGAGCCTAGGAATCAAAAACAGAATTGAGCCGAGGGAATTAATGCAAACGGGACTGAATCCCATCCTGGCAGACCTTGTCAAAGAAGCCAAAAGTTGCTTTGCCCCTCAAATGCTGCCCCCAGAGCCCGGGTGCACTTTGGGCACCCAGTGCCCATTGGAGTCAGCATTGGCAGCTGGGAAGGCCAAGCCACATCTACACACACACACACACACACACACACACTACCCCAGGCAGCAAGCAGGCCCAAAATCCTGCAAATGAAGTAACGAAGCTCATATCTTAAAACAACAGTGCTGGACCCGACTGTCTGTTTGGCTAGAAATGAGTTTGAACTTGTTCCCTTTTGAAACCGATGAACGGTAAACTTTCAAAATGACTTATGACTTTGATGCATAGCAGCTCCTCTACAAACAAGGGTCAAACTGACATTTCCAATTATTCACTGAGCGAAGGTTAAAAACATGACCTTTTATTTCATTTTTTTTCCATTTCACAATGCTCATAGCCTGCCCCGCCTGGAAAGAAACTTGGGGGGGGGGGCTACAGCAATGTCTACAGAGGGGTGATTAAAAGCAGAGAGGGTCAATAATGTTTGGGAAAACCAACTTGGAAACAAAACTTTATTTGAAAAGGAGCATTTGCAAAGGCCTGGTGAGCTGAAGCATACGTAGGAGTCCAGCCACATCTTAAAGAGCTGTTTGACACATTTTTATATCCTATCCCTGACACAGATTCACCCCCTTCCTCTATTGCTCTCAACACCCTTAACCAGGACTGCCTAAAACCACTGTCGCTCCCACGTTCTAGGAAGTCCCTTTGTGCACGTCTTACCTATCACCATCTAATTTTCTGTTAACAAAGCTCGGCTCCTATAGTTATTTCTGTATTTCCTCTGCTTGCGGTTTAGGTTAGCTAGCAACTTCTATTTATCTTTATTTGTGTAGAGTTAACTTGTCCGAGTTTATGACTTTCAGGTGGCTTCTCCTACAGATCTTTAGCTTCATTAGAAATTTCTGCTTAATAATTTACTCCTGTCAACCACACATGGAAATTAAAAAAAAAAAAAAAGACACATCCTGGAGCAATTCATATTTGCGAACGTCACCTTTCATTGCCAGACTTAATCAACGGCCATTACCAAACCCAAACGGTGGAGGAATTTTTTACTTTAGATATCAAGGGGACAATGGTGCCAGGCTTTAGAGAACAAGGACACAAACAAGTGTGTCTTTTGTAATAATAATAATAATAATAATAATAATAATAATAATAATAATAATAATAATAATAGTATTAGTAGTAGTAGTAGTAGTAGTAGTAGTAGTAGTAGTAGTAGTAGTAGTAAAGTTGGAAGGGACCTTAGAGGTCATCTAGTCCAACCCCCTGCTCAGGCAGGAAACCCTACACCATTTCGGACAAATGGCTGTCCAGTCTGTTCTTAAAAACTTCCAGTGTTGGAGCATTTACTGCTTCTGGAGGCAGGTTCCACTGATTAATTGTTCTCACTGTCAGGAAGTTTCTCCTTAGTTCTAGGTTGCTTCTCTCCTTGATTAGTTTCCACCCGCTAATCACTGACCCATGGCTGGGCTGAAAAGAGGGGTCACCCCTTGTGGGGACCAGAGACAACACTCCAGCCCCAGATATTTCTTTACAAGAGACTCCCCCCCCCCCAAACCAGGCCTTTGTAAATGGAGACATGAACGCTCGAGAGAGGCAGAGTCCTTCTTCCCTGGGTGTGCAAAGAAAATTGTTTTTCTGCAAAAAAAGGGAGCTTGGCCTGCTCCCTGCCAGAGCCCTCCAACCTTCCCCATCTCCCCTCTCCCCAAATTGCACCAGACCGGGTTGGGGGGGGGGCTGAGAGCGGAGCCCTTTGCAAGTGGCTTTGCAAGGGAGGCAGGCGGCTTTTAGGCCTCAGGCCTCAGGCCCCATGGCTGGCCAGCCCTTCCCCTTCACCCCAGGGAAGCCAGCCGGACCCAAAGCACACCCAGTGGCACCCACTTCCTGGGGAGCTGCCTCCTGAAGCACCTCCCGGGAGCCATCTTGGGGGAGGATTTCCGCAGAGAGCCCTCGCCCCCAACTAAGATGGCCGCAGGCAGGCCTGGCTGGCAGCCCAGCCTCGCCAAGTGGGGGACTCTGTTGTCCATCATCCAGCACACTGGGTGTGTGTGTGTGTGTGTGAGGGGAGCAGAGATGCAATGCAGCTGGGGGAGGGGTCTCATAGATGCTGGGTTTGCCCAGGCAGGGGTCCAACCCCACAGTGGGGGGGGGGTGCTGCAAGGCAAAAATCCTGCCCCCAGATCAAATAGGGCTGCAAAAAGCCCCCCCCCCAGTTCTGCTTGGCTCGCCTTGCCGCCCCCCCCCCCTCCCGAGTGCCCATTTGGGTAAGGTGACCAACTTTTTTACAATGAAAAGGAGGACACAAATAAATTGAAGAAAAAAATATCGTAAATAAAAGAAACATTTTATTCCCTGCAACAATAATACAGACAACTTGCACGTGCAAAGTTTGCCAGCCGGGTGTTTTGGCGCGCTCAGCAGCAATTCCTATTGGCTTTCGAAAGCTCATGCAAAGGTTGGAAAAAAAAAACATTAAAAAAAGGTGCTGGAACGCCGTTCTGATCGTTTTATGAGAAAAAAAAGCCCTGCAGATTAATCTTCAGATATCGAAAAGGAGGACATGAAGGAGGACACTTTTCGAGGGAGGAGAGAACTTACAAAAGGAGGATTGTCCTCCCTAAAAGAGGACGGTTGGTCACCTTAATTTGGGGGACCCTTGGGGGAGATCCCTGATTGAAAAGGGGCCAAGACCTTGGCACTTTGCACCAGGAAGGCTGCGTTCCTCCCCTCGGGGGCGGGACTAGTTCCAGGGAGGGGGGGCAGCCCCACAGCTGGGGTGGGCACAGGAAACAATGGGAAAACTTGTGGGTGAGGGTGACAGGCATGGCCCAGGCCCAGCCTGAGACCGGTTGATGGAATTAGCCGACTCCCCTCCTGGCGAGATGGAGGCAGGCTGGGAGTGAGGAGGAAAGACCCCCAGAGGAAGCAGACCAGGCTACCTAACCTCCCAGGGCTGGGAGGGATCCAACGCTAAGAACCTGGAACAACCCCTCGGAGGGGGGCTGCTGTAAACACGGCCATAGAGTAGGGGGCTGCCACACACACCCCATCTCTGCAAGAAGAGCCCTCTGGAATGGGGCAGCCCCCATCCACTCTCCCCACACTCTATGGACACCAGCCCCCTCCCCAGATTCCTGCCTGCTCTCAGAGGCAGGTGGGGTCTGCCGCATTTCTCCTCCAGGAGACTCCTTTCCCTCCCTCCCTCCCAAATGACCCCATGGTATCTCCTGAGTCTGGGGGCGCTTACCTGCCTGCCCCTCCCCAGACCTCTCACAGGAAGGGCCCCATGGGCAGAACAGATGCTCTGGAAGTCCCAGTGTGCCCCTGGCAGCTGGTGCAGAGGCTGCAGGTGTTGGCCCTTCCAAAACACACACACACACACACACACACACACACACACACACACACACACACGGTTGCAGAGAGCCCCACCCAACCTTTCTCCTTGCCAAGAAGGGCCCCTCCATCACTCTGAGCCGAGGGAATTCCCAGTTCTAAAAATTGCAGCCGGACAGGCTGGTCCGCCTTGCGCTCCCTTCCCAAAGCAGAGATGCAGATTGCAAGGCCAGATACAGGAAGAGGGTGGGGAGAGCCCAGCACAGCCCCAAAATGTATTTGTCAGATCTGCCACCTTCAGCTTCTTCGCTTTGCTGGCATCCTGCCATAAAACGCAGGGGAAGGGAGGGAGGAATTGGGCTAGTAAAGTTCCAGCATGGAAATAATAATAATAATAATAATAATAATAATAGTAACAACAACAACAACAATAATAATAATAATCCATCAATGGAGAAACTGCAATGAATCAGTCAGTACCTGACAAGGAAGAAACAGTGCAGTTCTGGAAGCAGATATGGGATAACCCAAAGAAATACAACAAGGATGCAAATAAAACAGAAGTTGAAATGAAAGAACTAGTAATAACAACAAAAAGGATAGAAAAAAGAGCAAGGAAAATCAAAAATTGATCAGCACTTGGTGAAGATGAACTGCATGAGTTTTGGTTGAAACATCTAACTGTTATACACCCACTCATTACCAAGCAGTTCAACAATATACTACAAGTTGAAATTGAAAAGTGGCTAACAACTGGGAAAACCTACCTAATAATGAAAAATCCAGCAAAAGGGGCAACACCAGGCAACTACAGGCCAATTACCTGTTTACCAACAACTTTCAAATTACTAACTGGTATGGTAGCTGATGCAGTACAACAGCATCTAGTTGAAAACAATCTCTTTCCACCTGAGCAGAAAGGAAACCGCCCCAATAGCAGAGGAACAAAAGATCAACTCCTAATAGACAAAATGATCTTGGAAAACTGCAAGAGAAGGAAGACCAACCTGAATGTGGCATGGATTGACTACAAAAAGGCATTTGACTTTCTGCCACATGACTGGATAATCAAGTGCCTAGAAATAACAGGAGTCAGTAGAAACATCAGAAAATTTGTGCAAAGATCGATGGCACAATGGAAGACACAGTTGCAGATCAATGGTGAGAGGCTGGGAGAGGTTAATATCAAGAGAGGAATATTTCAAGGAGATTCATTATCACCATTACTATTTGTTATTGCACTGTTTCCTCTGTCAACAATACTGAATAACTCAGGACATGGCTATCAAACATCAAAAACATCTGCCAGACTATCCCACCTCCTTTACATGGATGATCTGAAGCTGTATGGAAAAACATCATCTGAAATAGAATCGCTGCTCAACACTGTCCGTATATATAGCCAAGATATTGTAATGGAGTTTGGCTTGGACAAATGTGCCACACTTACTATCAAACAAGGAAAAGTAGTGAAAACTGAAGGAATCAAGATGCCCCACGAAAATAACATTAAGAGTCTGGATGAGGAAGATTACTACAAATACTTGGGTATCCTTCAAGCTGACAACATCAAGCACACTGAAGTCAAGAAAAAGATTAGAGGTGAATACATCAAGAGAGTGAAGAAGATCTTAAAGTCCAAACTCAATGGAGGAAATACCATAAAGGCAATCAACACCTGGGCAATTCCAGTCATTAGGTACACAGCTGGAATAGTGGACTGGACTCAAGCAGAACTAAAAGCAATGGATAGGAAGACCAGAAAAATAATGACAATGAATCATGCCCTTCATCCACGCAGTGACATTGACAGACTTTATCTACCAAGGCAAATAGGTGGGCGTGGAATGCTACAAATACATCAGATGGTTGAAGAAGAAAAAATGGCTTTGGAAGAATATCTGAAGAACAATGATGAAGATGCACTGAAATTAGTATATCAGGAAGGCTTACTGACTACTGGAGAGACCAAACTGGCCTACAAGAAAGACCAAATGAAGAACAGAATAGAGGCATGGGAAGACAAAGCACTACATGGCCAATACATGAAAAAAATAGCTGGGAAAGCAGATAATAATAAAACCTGGCAATGGCTAAGAGCAGGAAAATTGAAGAAAGAGACCGAGGGACTAATTCTGGCTGCACAAGACCAAGCCTTAAGGACAAATGCATATAAAGTCAAAATTGAGAAGACAGCAACAGACAGTAAGTGCCGCCTATGCAAAGAAGCTGAAGAAACAGTGGACTACCTGGTAAGCTGTTGCAAGAAGATTGCACAGACTGACTACAAGCAGCGGCATGACAAAGTAGCAACAATGGTGCATTGGAAGATCTGCAAAAAATATCATTTGCCTGTAAGCAAAAACTGTTTTTTTATCATAGAAAATGATAAAATTAAACTGCTCTGGGACTTCAGAATTCAAACAGACAAGCACCTGCAACATAACACCCCAGACTTAACAAATGTTGATAAGAAAGACAAAAAAGTCTGGATAGTGGATGTGGCAGTGCCTGGAGACAGCAGAATAGACGAGAAAGAACTGGAGAAGATAACAAAATACAAAGACCTACAAATAGAAATAGAAAGACTGTGGCAAAAGCAAGCAAGGGTGGTACCAATAGTAATAGGCTCCTTGGGTGCAATCCCAAAACAACTGGAGCACCACTTGAACACCATTGGCATTGACAAATTCGCTATTAGTCAATTGCAAAAGGCGGCCTTATTAGGAACTGCTTCCATCCTGCGACGATATCTGTAATACCATCAAACATCCACATCTGCCTATCCCAGGTCCTGGGTAAGGACTCGATAGGTAGACAAAATGCCAAATCCAGTCTGAACATCTGGCTGATTGTGCAATGATCTATAATAATAATAATAAAGTTGGAAGGGACCTTAGAGGTCATCTAGTTCTATTCCAACCCCCTGCTCAGGCAGGAGTGGAGAGAGTGGACAAGAACCATAAGTGCCAAACCGGAACAAACCAGCCACCAAGGGCATCTGGCCTGGGAACAGAGTAAAAAAACTGCGTTGAGAGGTGCCAAGCGTCAAAGTGGCTCCCAAAACATCAAAACAGCATCCTACTGGACACTGATGGTCAAGGGAGGGGCAGGGAACGGGGGAAAATGAAACCTTTGCACGTGAACACTCAGATCTAGCTTTATTTTCACTGCAACCACTTAACTTTAGTGAAAGAACCTGTTGCTTCAACCAATTGGAGTCGAGGGTCTTTCTTTCCTAAAGGTCCGAGTTGGGGCAGGTCTGACAGTATGGCTAATTTTTGTAACAGCGATTACAAAATTCCCCGGGGGTGGGGGCGGTCCTATGGCCACTTGTGCCCTCTTCACATGGCCACACCTGAAGTGGACAAGCCTTCCGTTCCCCACCATCCAGTCAGAGCTGAAGAAGCTTCCTGGAGGAGAAGCGAAATGTCTTCAAAGCAAAAGAAGGAGGTCCAGTTGCCTCCTGGAAAATCCCCTTTGGGATAACCGTGGCCTGGATGACTGTCAGTCTCCACAGACAAGGCCCCAGAGGCCCACGAGGGTCTGGTTAATCACCGGTCAGGGGAGGGGCTGGGAGGCCTGGTCCGCCTGCAGCCATTAAGAGGGGGTCCGGGGGTCCTCCGGGGTCCTCTCCAGCTGCTTCCACACCTCCTCGATCCTCTTCATGCTGACCCCATGGATGCACACAGAGCGCCGGTAGGCCGAGAGCTCGTCCGTGGGGATGCCCCACACGCGGAAGGCCCCGTCGTGCCGCTGTGGGATCTTGGCTGCCAGCGTCAGGAAGGCCAGGTAGATGTCGTCCAGGGGGAAGACGGGCAGCTCCAGAGAGGCCCGGTACAGGGCGGCCAGCCCCACCCGCGACATGATGAACCCCCCTCCGGAGGCAAAGTTGGGGTAGCGGTCCAGAGGGTAGAGGTCCCACGGCACGGCATACTTGCCCCCCCTCATGACCGTTGAGTGGACCTGGATGTTGCCATGGATGAAGTGGGAGGCGTTGGGCGTCCGGCGGAGGTAATCGGTCAGCACCTTGGGGTTCACAAAGAAGTCGTCGTCCCCTGAAAAGCAACAGGGTATTTACTTCCAGGGAGGGTGGCAGATTGCCCCCCCGAGCTGATCCTCGGGCTGCACACTCAAGCTTTTGGGGTCACCCCCACCCCCTTCCCAAAGGAACGGCGTCCAGCTGGAGCTTTCAGACCCTGGAACCCAAACCACCCAGGGGGGAGGGTCAGGAGGTCAAGATGGGAGCCTACACACAAGAGAGGCTGGTAACCCGAGGGCAGCTCCATGTCAGATGCTTGCAAGCAGCAGTTAACCATGGTGGCATCCTGGGTGAGTCTATGAGCGGACAAGCCTGCCTTTTGTCAGACTTCTCTCTCAGAAAAAGGGGCTGCCCGTTTTTTGGACCTTGGGCGGTCTGAGTTGAAGGTGGCTCCCCTCCCCCTGGTTGAAGGCCCCCAGCTGACAGAGAGAAGGCTATTCCCAGAAGGCAGGAGGGCAAAGGGGTGCGGAGGGCAGCCTGGTCCGGGGTCTGCCCTCCCCCTCCTTAGATAACTTTCCCCTACTTTCTCATTTGCTAGCTAGCGTGGGTGGAGGAGGGTGTTCATCCTCTCATTCGTTCTGTATTCCATTTGGCCTAAAGACACCTCTAACCTGTTTGCTCACCAGAAATGAATCCAGTTCCAAGAAAAATAGACCTTATCTTCTGCCTGGGTGCTTCCATCAGCCCGCTAAGCCCTGGCGTGTCTGAGTTAACCCTTGCCGGGTTCAGACAGCCTCTAGGTCAGGGGTAGGCAACCTTGGCTCTTTTATGACTTGTGGACCTCAACTCCCAGAATTCCTGAGCCAGCAGTCATAAAGGAGCCAAGGCTGCCTGCCCCTGCTCTAGATGGACCCAGGCCAGCTTGGCAGGTGGTGCCAATCAGCTTCCAGACCTTGCCTGCGCTGGGCTGAGCGCATCGTGTGAACAGAGCCCCCGTCGGGGGGCCCCTTGCCCACCTACCTTTGAAGACGAAGGCCGCCTGCTGGCAGTGCCCGTGCACCCACCGGAGGAAGCAGCGCTCCTTGAGCGACAGGTTGTGGTGGGACTCCAAGAAATCCCACCTCAGGATGTCGCCAAACATGCGGCTCTCCTGCGCCACCAGCTCCAGGTGCTTCTGGTTGGAGGTGGACCCCAGGAGGAAAAGGGGCTGCAGCCGGAAGCCCCCCAGCTCCACCGGCCGGGCCCAGGTACGGCGCAGGGTGGCCCTCCTGCCGCTAGACGCCGGGTGGGATTTGATGGCCAGGAGCAGCAGAGGCGGCACGGAGGGACCCTGGCACACGTCGTCCGGGGGAATCACCTCCTGGCACCGGTAGAACTGCAGGTGAGGGAAGTGGGCTTCGTAGGCGCTCCGGTTGAAGCGGAAGGTGAAGGAGCCGTCGGTCAGGGCTGAGATGGTCCTGCTGCTGAGGGTGGCGGCAGGGCTGCTGGGGACGAGCTGCTCCCGGTGCCAGCTCAGGAGCAAGAGGACGGGGGTCAGGCTGCCCAGTGCCAGCCCCCCAAGCTGGCAGGCCCAGCAGAGGCCTGGGGGAGGCATGGGGGCGAGGAACCTGCGCCGAGGAAAAGGGAAAAGCTCCATCGGAGGGGAAACCCGGAGCCTCGCCGGGTTGGCAGCGTCCCTCCAAGTTGGCCGTCGGCTTCCCTCTCTCGTGCCACACCTGGGGGTGGGCTCCTCCTCCGGCTGGCTTATTGGGGCCCCCAGGCGCCTCCGCCTCCCCCGCCTTCCTTCCGCCTTCTGGGCGGCGCTGCGAAGGGAGGCAGCCTCCGCCGTCGGGCAGGTTGGGCGCCTCTTCCGACCCTCCCCGGAGAGGAAGCTGCGAGGTGCTCCTGGCTGGCAGCCGACCAAGCCCGGCCTTCCCCTCCCCGGGGGCAGAGAGGGAGCCGGCCTGGGGTCTGGACGCCCCGCGGGACCGGAGGAGCACCCCCCCACACACGCTGAGGCTCAGGCTCCCGTCGGGGCTAAGACGGACGGCGCCTTTCTCGGTCGGAGCGGCGGCTGCAATGCTCAGGCTCGCTGGGCGGCGGGAGCCCCTGATCAGAGCCCAGCCAGCCCTGGAGAAGGGGCTCACCCGGGGAAGAGCAGCCCTCCTGCCCTGCCTTCCGACGGGGGAGGAGGAGGAGGAAGGTGGAGAGGAGGAGGAGGAGAAATGAGGACGGAGAGGAGGAGGAAGTGGAGGAGGAAATGTCTAGTTTAAGGAAGAGAAGGACAAGGGGGGACACGATAGAAGCCTTCCAGTATCTCAGGGGCTGCCCCAAAGAAGAGGCAAGTCAAGCTATTCTTCAAAGCGCCTGAAGGCAGGAGAAGAAGCAACGGATGGAGACTAATCAAGGAGAGAAGCAACCTGGAACTAAGGAGAAACTTCCTGACAGTGAGAACAATTAACCAGTGGAACCACCTGCCTCCAGAAGCAGTAAATGCTCCAACACTGGAAGTTTTTAAGAAGAGACTGGACAGCCATTTGTCCGAAATGGGATAGGTTCTCCTGCCTGAGCAGGGGCTTGGACTAGATGACCTCCAAGGTCCCTTCCAACTTTACTACTACTAGTACTACTATTATTGTTATTATTAAATGCAGATGGAGAGGAGGAGGGAGAGGAAGGAAGGTGGAGAGGAGGAGGAAGATGGAGAGGAGGAGGAGGAGAAAGGAAGATGGAGAGGAAGAAGAGAAAGGAAGGTGGAGAGGAGGAGGAGGAAGAGGAAGGAAGGTGGAGAGGAGGAAGAGGAGGAATGAGGATGGAGAGGACTGTGGGGTCCTTGGTGCTGCCAGCAATGGGGCAGCCAAGGACTTGCCCTGCTAGAAGCCAGTCCCAGGACTCCCTGCCTCCCTGCCCCTCCCCACAGTCTCTCAGCGCCTGGGGCTTGCTTGCCCCCTCCCCAGTCCCAAACAGAGGGGGGGGCAAGGTCCAAGCAGGCTGGCAGAGGGGGAGACTCCTGTGCACCTACCCCAGCCGTGGCTCAGCCCTGTGGAATGAAGGGTGGTCTGTGGCCGGGAGAGCAACTTTGCCCTCCGTGTTTGTCCCTCCCGTTTTCCCTGTGCCGCCTCCACTGTCTGGGATGGGTGGCTGGTTGACAGGACCACTGCGTGTGGCCGCCTTGGTGAGTCACAGGTCGGAGGGCCCTTCACAACTCGGGCAAAAGTGCCAGCGCTGGAGTCAGCCAACGGGCACCCAGCGAGGCTGTCTGGGGAATTCTGGACGTTGAAATCCACCCAGCTTAAAGTTGCTGAGATTGAAAAGCTGTCAGGTAAGAAGAGTCTTCTGATGCTTTTGCAAGATTTTAGAGTTTATTTTTTTTTCGATATTTATTTATGCACCCGCCCATCTTTCAACCAAGTTTGGGAAGCCCCCCCCCAATCAAAAATTAAAAAGACGCACGAAAGCAACTTGAGGTGCAGCGAAGGGAACTGCGAAAGAAGAGAAGGACCAGGGGTGACTTGGTGGGACCTTCCCATACGTGAGGTTCAGGGAAGAGGATCTCAATTAATTTACCCAAAGCACCCAAGGACGGTGCAAGGAGCAATGAACGGAAGCTCATTAGAAAAAAGTCCGGTCTGGAAATCAGGAGAAATTTCCTCACAGTGAGAACAATTAATCCGTGGAACTGCTTGCATTCAGAAGTTATGGATGCTCCACCGCTGGAAGTTTTCAAGAAAAGGGTGGACAGCCATTTGTCTGGAATGGCTTGGGGTCTCCTGCTTGAGCAGGGGGTTGGACTAGAAGACCTCCAAGGTCCCTTCTGGTCTCCCCACACATCATCCTTAGTGAGGGACGCCTGCATTTCCTGCATCAGATGAGAGCAATTCTTTCTCCTCCTGTCCTGCCCACTTTACAGAGGCGCAATTGGGAGCACTTTAACAAACTGCATCACTGTTTGGTCTGGTGGCAGCAGAGCCTCAGATAGAAGCTCCACACAGAGAGTGGTGAGGACAACTAAGAAGGTTAACAGCTTGCTTCCGTTATTCAGGATGCTGCTTATAAGTGCTCATGTGTACTTAGAGCTCCGAGCATAGTTAGATGTTCTGTCCCAGCCTACATGAGTCCTTGCTATGCTCACAAGGGGAAACCCCTCTCCCCAAAAGCAGGCAGGAACTGCAAGAAAAAACCAGCCCTTTATTCTCACTGACCTGAGTCAATGTCCAAGGCAAAAAAGCAAAGTCCACAGAAACACGAATGGCGGCCGGCACCTCCCACCCCTTCCCTTTTATAATTCAGCCCAGGCTTCCTAATGCCTTCTCCTCTTTGCCTTTGGAGCCGCCCCATTGCATCCTTCTGTCCTACTCTCTTCTCTTGCCTGTACTTTTGTGCATCCTGGATTTGTCCCAGTTGTTCTTCATCACTGTCCAACTCAGGCACCCAGCACAGCTTTGTCTCAGCCTGCGCTTGAGTAGAGGGGCCAGGCTCCTCGTCCGACTGTAAGTCTTGGAGCTCCTCAGAGCCTTCCCCTCCCCCAAGTGCCCCTGCACTGCCCCATGGGATGCTAGAAGTCCCCTCTCCTCAAACCCATCCTCCTTGCCCGACAACCTTATCTCTACAGCTCTACTATTAATCAATTGTACAAGTCACAAAAAGGGCACTCCCTGACTTTCACATCAGGAGTGGCCCAGGTTGGGCTTTATGACATTTTTGTCCCAACCGGTCACACAATTATGACACCAGTCCAAGAACAACCTGTCCTTATTTCAGTTTTTAGTTATTCAGAAAGGGAGTTTCTCTCTCGTAATTGTCAGAAATTTTTTATTGTTACAGCAAGCCAGACTGTTTTTTTTCCTCACCATCCCAAGCCACAGTTGTTTTTCCCACCCAGTTGTCTCCCACCGTGGCAACTTTTAAGACTTTGGACTTCAACTCCCAGAATTCCCCAGCTGGCTCTGTTCCGTTGACAGCATTCCCACCACCCCTTAAGAAAGTTACCCTTATCCAAAAATTACAATAAAGTCATCTGGCCACATCTGTTCTTGTCCTAAACCAGGGGAGGCAACCTTGGCTCTTTTAGGACTCGTGGACTTCAACTTCCAGAATTCCTGAGCCAGCCATACCTGTTTTTTTTTTTTCACCTATCCCTTAAAGCGGAGAGATTGGAGAGGAAGGGATTCTAAGAGAGTAAGCAGGGCCACAATGAGTATGCTGGCTGGGGAATTCTGGGAGTTGACGTCCGCGAGTCCTAAAAGAGCCAAGGTTGCCTAGCCCTGTCCTAACCCATGCTGAATTCTGCTAAACCCTTGCTGGCTGCGAGTTAGATGAAAAATTGCCATTAAGAGAAATGATAAAGTACTTTTGAATTATATTTTAATTAACAGGAGTGATGTTTTGAAAAGCATTAATATTATAAACTGGCTGAATGCAATAACCTGTGTGCAATTCTATGAAGAAAACATTTTACAAGAAGTGTCAACTGAAAATCACAGATGGTGTAAGAGATTACCCGTGTAGGGCCGTGTGGTAAGATAGTCATTTGTGTGAACTTCTCCATTTCCTATGTGTGTGGTCTCAAGGTATGAACTTTTCTCTTTTAGTATGTTAAAAGTGGATAAGAAGTCATCCCTTGGGTAAAAGCGTGGGTGGCCAGCTGTATAAAAATGACACCTGGAGAAATATTACCAGGCCGCAGCATTAGTATGGGTAAGAGATTAGATATTACTAAAAAACAGGAGACTATTGTGTCTGGAGGGCCATGACCTACAAATAGGATGGCATGCCATATTATGGGATCATAAATATAAAGTACATAAATATTTTCGAAGTCACTATATTAGGCAAGCTCTTATTGATATATGGACAAAAATTTGGCAACCAAATTATACCCAAGTACCTAGTTGGATCTCACCGTTAGAAATATATGTACACCCAAAATTTACTCAATTAGACAAGACCATAACATATAAAAATATCTTAGATGAAAGAGGGGAATTGAAATCCAGGAAAACCATCCACGATGAAGGGATAGAATTAGAATGGTGGGCATACCTGCAACTGTAGGCGAGATATCGGAAAGACAAAAAAGAGTTAGGCATTAAATTAGAATCAATAGAATTGGATAAAATAATTTTGGGGTCGGAGGATAAAATGATTAAAAAATTATACTACTATTTGTTAGATCAGGCAATGTATGAAGAACAAGTAAAAGTGACTATGTTGAATTGGAGTAAGGACTTTGGTCTTAATTTTGATCTGCACATCTGGCAAGAACTATGGGCAAGAAACAAGAACCTTACTTTGGCCACCTCTTACAAAGAGAACCTTTACAAAATGTTTTATAGATGGCGTCTCCCACCCACAAGATTGTCTAAAATGTATACCAATGTTTCCCCTAAATGTTGGAAATGTAATTTGAAAAGTGGAACTTACTATCATATGTGGTGGAAATGCACGCGAGCTTGTGATTTTTGGAACAGGATTAAAATATGGTTGGAAGAAATATTAGAGCAAGCGGTAGAACTAAAACCAGAACTCTTTCTATTAGGTTTAACTACGCAAAAACATGACAAAGGCGTACTTTATTTAATGCTACACATTTTAATGGCTTCCAGGCTGGTTTTTGCTCAAAATTGGAGGAACAAGGGAACCCCAACGGAAGAAGAGAGCCTGCATAAAATTCTAATATGTGCTGAGATGGACAGGCTTACAATGATTATGAAAGACAAAACGGAACACTAATACTTCGAAATCTGGGGCAAATTTTACCGCTGGTATGAATTAAGAACTGCTCGGACTTTAAGCTAATGGTAGAATTAAAAGATATACATAACTGCACATATAATTGTATATATAATTGTATTGTATAAAAGATGAGGCTTATATAGAGGTTAAGAACAATGTATTAAATTTTTGTATTATGATAGGAACTGATAGGAAAATTCACCCTGGAATGTCATGTTTGTCCATTGCTGTTTTAATTGTATTATGAATAAAAATTTAAAGAAAAAAAAATGACACCCTGGGAGTAACTCAGGGTTCAGAATTTGTCATATGAATACTCTGAACCTTTGCGCAAATAAAACCTGTTTTCTCCAACCCTTCGTGGTCTTGTCTTCTGATGTAAGTATCGTGGTTTTTCCACTACAGCTGGGGAATTCTGGGAGTTGAAGTCCACAAAATGAAAAGTGGCCAGGTTTAGAGAGCCCTGCTCTGGCGACCAATCTCGTCTTGGGAGAGGCCCGCTGGGAGAACAGCTTCTGCGCTAAAAAGCGATTAAACCACCAAGCAGCCAAACCAGCCAGCTCCACGTGGTGCTAACCCTCCTCAAATGCCGGTCAGATTAAAATAAACCCACTTTAGTCCTCTGGTCTTTAACGGAGCTGGCTGGGAGTGCTGGTCAGGGAGGGAAGGCTGGGCTCAACCTGGCCCCAGCAATGATCTGCCCATCCCGCAGTCTTCCGGGCAACAGGAACCCCCCCCCCAGGCCTAGCAGCAGCTCCAGAGAGCTTGGCTGAAGAGCTTCAGCAACCCTGGAGGGCTCCCCGGGGCAGGAGCCCATCCTGGATGATGCCGGAGCTGCTGCCCATACTTTGATGCCACAGCACGTGCCAAGCAGGTGGTGCCCATCCACAGCCAGTCCCTTGGAAGGGGCTCAAACTGCTGGTCCATGTCCCGTGCCTCGCTTCAGGAATGCCTCTTTCACGGGAGGGTGGGGGGCCCTTTGGCCCTGAACTGGGGCAAGCAGAGATTGTAAAAGGAGGCCTCCTCAAAGGAGCCGAGCGCCCGCCACGAAACCCACCGCTGGGCGTGGGCTTCCTGCCGGCTGAGCGAGCCTGCTGGGCCGTAGTAGTGTGGATCCAGAGTGAGCAGGTGGTGTCCCTCGGGGCCAGAGCAGACCCCCAACAACCCCTTGGAGACGTGGTCCCGGCCTCCCCCCATCATCACAGGCCCCCCACCCTCCTGAAAGTGAGCATACAAAGTCTCCAGCTCCCCTTCCAGGTCTCGGCCGAGGCGGATGTGGAGCAGCTTGCCTGGCACGCCGTAAAAATAATCGAGGCAGAGTGCGGCTTCCACGGTGCCGATCCACTCCCGCGAGCCTGCGAAGGAGGGGGGCTTGTCCCCCATCTCCACCAGGGAATTCTGGATCTCCTTCAGGGATGGAACCGGCTGGCCGGCGGCTGCTTCTCCCCCGGCTGCCACCAGCCAGGAGCACATCATCTGGAGGGTACGGTAGCCGCAGCCCCACCCTCGGTCGTCCACACCGTCGCAGCCGTAGTGGTAGTGGCGGTAGGGCCCGGCCACGAGGGCCTGGCGATGTGGGCAACCCGGAGGAGGAAGGCCCAGGTGGACGGTGGACAGCAATGCCATGCCCGAAGCTGGACGGCCTGAAAGAGAAGAGCAGACATGTGGGAAGCGGAGCGGAGGAAGGAGTGGTGGCCGCTGCCAGTACAGGCAGTCCTCGACTTACAATGACTGTGTCCCAAATTTTTGTTGCTAAAAGAGACAGTTGCTAAGTGAATTTTATGACCTCCCTGCCTTTTCTGACCTTGACTTTGCTTGTCAGAAAAGGGGACCACGTGACCCAGCATCTAAGCCAGGGGTAGGCAACCTTGGCTCTTGTTGGCAACCTATGCTGGCTCAGGAATTCTGGGAGTTGAAGTCCACGCGTCCTAAAAGAGCCAAGGTTGCCTACCCCTGATCTAAGCCAACATCTACTTGCTTGCAACATCCAGCTTGTGGGGCCAGTTGACTCCAGGAACAAAACCAGCAGCTTCTCTGCATCTTTTCGGCTGTCCTGGGGCAGCATCGTAAAAAAGATGGTTTGAAAGACCAGTTTTGAAGAAGGGAAGGGTGTCCTCGGGATAAGACTGAGTCACCGGAAGAGGAAAAGATGAGTTATCTTTGCATTCGGGGAGGGAAAGCTGAATTCTCCCCCAAGCAGGTCACACCCAAACTAAGCATTCCGCCACGGAGTTACTGGGCGAGGAGTCCAGCTGGCCAAAGATGGTAGCCAAAAAGCTGGTCCTGAGCTCCCTTTAGGGCCATCACGTGCTCGTCCGAATTGCTGCCGCCCATTAAATGTCCAAAACTCCCCTGCAGTTGGATGCAGGCCGGCGGCCGACTCAAGGAATCCGGGTGAGGGGCCCTCACCCCCACCCCAATCCAACCATGGCCCGACGTTACATCCCCAAGACAAGTCCAGAAAAGGGTAACCCAAACCCGCCCAAAGTCGTCTCGGACAACGAGACAAGTTGGTGTATAATTTTCATAAATAAAACCCCACCAGGATCAGGCTGCTGGCATATAAATTTAATAAGATGTCTCTCTGGAACATCTTCTCCCCCCCCCCCAGTGAGGTCGACCCCTTGTCTCCTTAAGACCTTGAAGAGTCCACCTCTTGACAGTTGGCTTGGGGCTGCAAAGGGGGGGTGGAGGTTTCACATTAGGGATGGTTGATAGATTGTCAGACCCCCCTGCCCCCTCTGCTCATCCTTCTCCCTCCCTTCCCATCTTTTTGTTAGCTGTGAGGACAGATAGTCCTTGACTTACGATCACAATGCAGCTCCAAATTTCCATTGTTAAGTGTGTTTTGGCTCATGTTACTGCCTTTCTTCCCACAGTTGTTAAGTGAATCACTTCACTTGTTAACTTAGTCACACGGTCATTAAATGAGTCTGCCTTCCCCATTGGCTTTCCTTGTCAGAAGGTGGTAAAAGGTGGATCACGTGACCTTCGAACGCAGCAACCGTCATAAATAGGAGTCACTTGCCAAGTGCTTGCACTTTGATCGCATTGACTGGGGGGGGGGAAATGCTGCAAAGGTCATTAATGGGTCACTTTTTTCAGCGCCCATGTAACTTTGAACGGTCACTAAATGGACTGTTGTAAGCAGAGGACTGCCTGTATTTGCCTTTCTACAGAATCTTATATTCTCTGTATTTGCAGAGTTTTATCAGAAGTACGGTAAGCCGCTCAAGAGTCACCCCGGGGCAAGACAGGCAGCCAACATACTTTTGAAGGGTTCTGGAACAAAGGGAAATTGTTTAGCACAGGGGTAGGTCACCTTGGCTCTTTTATGACTCATGGACTTCAACTCCCAGAATTCCTGAGCCAGCCATGCTGAGGGGAAAGGGAGAGATTTCCAAGCTGAGACATGCTGGCTCAGGAATCCTGGGAGTTGAAGTCCACGAGTCATAAAAGAGCCAAGGTTGCCTATCCCTGGTTTAGTTTAACTGTTGCTTTCTTGCTTTTTGTAATCAGCTTTTGCACCATGCAAGCGTGGGAAAGGTACATGGATGGGATGTACTGAAGGAGGGAACGAGGGGGTGTACAGGAAGGAGGGATGTAATGGCTCTGTTATCTGATTTCCATTGGCTAACCAAGTTTATAAAGCCATGCCACCAACTTTCTCAGGCACTTTGATCACATAAAGTGCTGCTTGAGCAAGTCTCCGCTTGGCTTATCGCATTAGATTGATATGGTATCTCAAGTTCACGTAAGGGACTAGCACCTTGCACTTTAAAGATAAATACGTACATACTGAACCAGTATCAGGCTTGGAAGGGGGAGGGGCTGGGACAGGCTCTCCCGGGGTGGGGGAGGAGCGCGGGGGGCCTTTCCATGGCTGGGGGTGGGGGTGGAAAGGCCCCTCCCTCATGCACCCCAAAGAAGAGTAGGGGGATCTCCATCTCACTTGGGGGGGGGGCTCAGGGCGCCTCCTCGCCATCCAGCTGGACTACAACTCCCATCACTCTCGGGAGCCCGGGATGATGGGAGGGGAAGTCAGGGCTGGCTCCTTCCTGCGGGTTGCCCGGCTGCCCCCGCCCCGCCAGGACTCACCTGGGGAGCACACCTGCAGACCGGAAGTGCCGGGAAGGGAGCTTCCGCCTGGCTATGGAGACCGCGCCTGCGCTCCTAGAACGGCCACCAGCGGGTAAAATCAGCCTCACGTGCTTCCGTTCTCCACCGGAAGTGAGAGTCGGCCATCTTGGGAGAGGCCAGGCCGAAAGGACACGCGTGTCGTCCCTCCCCCCCCCCCGGGGCCCGTTCTTTGCACCCACTCAGGCGTGGTCTCCTTCTGTGAATGAACACCTGCGCGTCGGAGCCCGGAGAGTCTCACCTGCCTTCGGATCTGGCGCCGCGTCAGACGGCCCCGCCTTGCTTGGGAGTGCCGCTCTACATACTGCGCCTCTATGGCAAAAGGAATCTGGCCGAGGTGCTAGAGTTACGAAAGTGAAGAGTGACGCTCTAGTCCCGCGACGGTGAAACTTTTAGGCTCCCCCCTCCAACTACTTAGAACTCCAGGTCCCATAATTCCCTGACAGCACGTCCTTCGGTCTACACCCGTCGCCTGATTTCCGCACAGACCCTAAGGCGCTTTTCAACCTTGGCAACTTTAAGAAAGGAATAATACGTTAGCTTCCCAGAATCCCCCAGCCGGCAAGGATTCTGGGAGCTGAAGGCCGCCCGCTTGGAAGTTGCCAAGCCTGAAAAGGTGCATTTCAAGTTCGCCTAGGCCAGGGGTAGGCAACCTTGGCTCTTTTAGGACTCGTGGACTTCAACTCCCAGAATTCCTGAGCCAGCACAGCTGGCTCAGGAATTCTGGGAGTTGAAGTCCACCAGTCCTAAAAGAGCCAAGGTTGCCTACCCCTGGCCTACTACAGCCCGGCAGGCTCCAGGCAGGTGCTCCCGTCCCTGCCGTCGATGGGGACGCGCAGCCGATCCTCCCCCGAGCCCTCCGGGATCGTCCCGCCGCTGCTGCTGCGCCACCCAGCTGGTCGTCGGGGGTGCGGGGGGAACGCCGGCCAGGAGCCGCTCCTTGTAGCGCCGCCGCCCTGCGGGGAAGCCGAACTCACCCGCCACCGGGCCGGCCCCTCTGCCCGCCGGGCTCGGACCAGGACGGGCTCCAGCGCCGCAGCCCCTCCCGGAAAGCCCCCGGCTCGGTCCTGCCCAGGGTCCCCCGGCTCTGCCCGGGCCAGGAGGGAGAGCCGCGCAAGTGTCCCCCCCCCCGGGGGAGGGAAGGGACCCCCCCCAGGTCATCGGTGGAGGGGGACGGGGCGCTTCCCAGAAACACCGGCAGGCTCAGCCCAGGTGGGGCTGGAGGCGGGGGAAGGCAGCCCGCCTCCCGGCTTCCCTCCAGAGCAGCCAGTCCGGGAACATCCGGACGCTTCCCCCGGTCCGTTTTCCTCGTCCGGCTTTGGTTGCGCAGGAACTGTGGGGGGGGGGGGGCGCAAACGCTGCAGCCTGAAGACAGACACGCTCCGCTCCTGCAAGTTTCGCTTTTATTGCCCGGTTTTGTTCCGCGGAGCAGTTGCTCCCCCCCCCCGTTAGCGCCCCCCCTTTCCAACCCCGCGCCCCCTTTTCCCAGCCCCCCCCCGCTTGAGAGGCAGCTTCATCTGGGGTCAGTTAGTGGTTAGTAGAAGCATCTTTTGCAGGAGAGAAGTACAAACCCTCTTTTTGTTAAGTGCTGGTCATTTCTAATCCGCTGCTACGCTAATGGCGTTGGTGGAGACCCCCTCCCGGGAGCTTTAATCCTGGCTTCACCACGGGGGGGGGGGAGAATTGGGGTGCAGAGAGGCCCCCCCAGCAGCCTCTCACTCAAGGATGAAGGCCTCTGGAAGGGTTTGCTTCAACCATTTGGGGGTCACAAAACCGGATGTGGGAGCCAGATAGAGCTGTCCTGGATTCAAAACACGCCCCCTCCCCAGAAACAACCCATTCCGAACTCAAATTGGAAGCTTCACAGAATGTTTCCTGATCCGAACGGTGTTCGCAATGACACCAAATGCACTTCTTGGTAGGCTGCACTGCAAATCCCATCGTTCTTGTCAACACGGTTAGCTATCTTCGAGTGGGGCATGATGATGGGAGTTGTAATTCCACATACAGGGAGGGGGGCACAGGCTTGGTCAAGCCGGCGCAGAGTCCCGGCTGAGGAGGAGGTGGAGGAAGGTCACCTTGAAGTCCAACAAGGCCTGACCCAGATGTTTCGTTTGCCAAATATCGGCGCCCTCTTCCTTCCAACGGGGAGCCCGTCCCCTTTGCCTTCTGCACCAGGAAGTGGATGAGGAAAGTGTTTCCGGGTCTGGAAATTTGGGGCAGAGCTCACAAGAAGCCCTGGTGCCTCCAGGGGAACAGGAAGATCTCCCAGCTGGGACCCTCAATCCCACCGAGATGGTCCCAGGAAAGCTGTCCCCAAATAGTGGAAGACATTTGTGTCCTGCAGGGTCCTCCTCCCTCCTGCTTCAGCAGCCCTTCTCTGCTGCCCCAGATGTACCCTTCTCCCCCCACATCTTCAGCCAAGCTGTGCTCAGCACGGCCTCCTCGATGCTTCACGCACACCCCTCCAGAGACAAAGGCACGTTTTGTTCGTTGAGGACAAGGCGTTGGGGCCGCTGCCGGCCACTTACAGTTCGGTGCAGGTGACGGGGGTCAGCCCGTGGATCAGCAGGGTGGGCCCCAGGCCGGTGGTGAGGATCTCCAGCTGCTCCAGGTAGCGCTCGTACTGAGAGGTGTCTGCAGGGGGCCGCGGCAGGTAGAGGAAGCGCACGGCCGTCTGACCGGCTTGCTTCAGCAGAAGCTCGTTGACCGAAGCCAAGTACTCGTCCGTCACTCGGAACGTGGCTGCGTTCAGGATCGCTTCCTCCAAGAGCTTGTCTGGGTGGGGAGGACCAGGATTGCCCTGAACCTCAACAGGGCTTGGCCCCCCGGTCCCCGCAGGCTGGGGGTGGCTCTGGAAGGCGACCACCTGGTCCCAGGTCACGATCTTGATGGTGGCCTTAATCCGCAACTTGGTCAGCAGCTCCCGCAGCTTCTCCTCCTTGCTCACCCAGCCCAGGTCGCCCGACTCCACGCAGAGGAAGATGCGCAGCCGGGCGCCTTTCCAGGAGCTGACCATGGTGAGGATGCAGGCCATCTGGAGCAGGAAGAGGCTGCAGATGTCCACGTAGGTGGGCGTGTTGGGGCGCAGGAGGTTGAGGGGCCAGACGTCGATGTAGCGGCCCTCCAGGCGCTTCTTGGAAGCCGAGGAGGAGAGCAGGTCCTTGTCCAGGAGGTGGAAGTAGCGGGCCAGGCAGACGTTCTTGTGCATCTTCACCGCGTCCGAGATGATGGCCACGTACTCGGAGGGCCTCAGAGCCCGCTGGTTGGCCGTGACCCGCACGGAGGGGAAGTGCGCTTGTAGGGCTACCAGGTCCACCCCAAACTCGTCGTTCTCCCGGGCTTGGCTGAAGGCCGGGTCCTGCAGGAAGTAATCTTCGGGGACGCAGTCGTCATAGAAACCCAGGACCAGCGTATTGGGCTTCATCCCGCCTGCAGACAAGGAAGCGCACAAACCACGTCAACGCAGGCGGTCTGACCAGGTTCAGCAAGGGGGAGGACAGGTGGCCTCCCCCAGGCAGATCAAGACCCAGCACAACGACCATGGTTTATAATCCAGAGTCCCCTGGGAAAACCCCCCCCCAATATTTTGTTCTATGGAATGAGGGCAACCTGACAGTGAGAAAAAAGACTCCCACCACGTCAACAGAGGGGTCTTCCCTGAGTGCCAAGCAACTCTTTTCCCTTCTGGAGGTCCTCAGAGTGGCTACCAAATGAAGGATGGGGGTCCAGGAAGTCTTCCTGTGGCAGAGTTTGGCCTGGTGGTGAAGGCACTGGCTTAAAAACTAGGAGATGGTGAGTTCTAGTCCAGCCTTGGGAACAAAAGCTAGTAAATCACCAGGAGACTGGGAATTCTAGTGCCGCCTGAAGCGTGAAAGCCTTAAGGTGCTGGCTTACAAACCAGGAGATGGTGAGTTCTAGTCCTGCCTTAGGCCAGGTGACTTTAGGTCAATAACCAGGAGATTGTGAGTTCTAGTCCAACCTTAGGCACAAAAGCTAGCTGGGTGACCAGGCAAATCACCAGGAAACTGGGAATTCTAGTGCTGCCTTAAGCATGAAAGCCTTAAGGTGCTGGCTTACAAACCAGGAGACGGTGAGTTCTAGTCCAGCCTTAGGCACAAAAGATGTCTGGGTGACTTTGGGTCATCTTGAGTCGTTCTTAAAAATAATAAAGGCAGGACATAAACGACTAAATAAATAGATTTGTTTGGTTTGATTTCCCAAAAGATACGGCGGGAGGGGGCAGGGCCACCCTGGGGGCCTCAGGGTGGGACCTCAAGGGCCCCCCGGCTCCGTTTAGGTTTTTCTTGGTACGCCCTCCGTCCTTTGGGGCTCCAAGGGGCAAACGAGGTCAGCGTCTACTCAAAGGAGTTTACTCCAGGGACGTCCCAAACATAGCAAACTCAAAAGTGTCAGACTCCTTAATGCCAAATACCGACCCAGATGCCCTCCATGGGGGGGGGGTGTCTCTCCTTTCCCAGCAACACAAACCCTCCAGCCCCCCCCCCCCGGCTCCTCACCCAGGCCAGTGATGCGGAGGAGGTGCTGCGTCCCCTGGCGGACGGAGGGGGACAAAGTCAGATCCACGAAGGCCTTGATGCTCAGTTTGTCCACCAGGCTGAGCCAGAAGTTGTAGTGAGCCTGGATGGGGTCCGAGGGCATCGTGTCTGCGGGAGAGGCAGCAAAGATGGCAGGACCCCCTGGCATACGCCCCCCCCAAAAACTGTGCTATGTCTCTCTGAGCCCTGCCCCACAGATCCAGGCCACGTGGCGTCCCACGGAAGAGGAATGCCCGGGAGTCTGCAGGGGCCCCCCCGTGCCCCGATCCCTGCCCCTACCCAGGTCCCCGATCTCCACGTGGCCCAGGACGAAGAGGCCCCCTTTTTTTAGGTGGTTGATGAAGTGCATCAGGTGGGATCCACCCCGGGGGTTGGCCACCATCAGCAGGATCTGCGGCCGCCAGAATTTGACGTGGTCCTTCCGGATGTCGAGCAGCAACAGGTACTTCCGGACCTTTGGGGGGGGGGGGAAGGAAGGAGGATCAAGAGGGGAAGAGACCCCCCCCATCATTAGCCCCACCGGAGACCTTTTCCCCTCGTCTGCCTGCTGCCTTCTTCTCTACAGGGCTCTCAACTTACAGCCACAACCGAGTCCAAAACTTTCATTGCTAAGCGAGACGTTTGCTAAGTGGGTTTCGCCCCATTTTAGGTTGCTAAGTGAATCACTGCAGTAATTAAGTTAGTAACACGGTGGTTAAGTGAATCTGGCTTTCCCCACTTGTCAGAAGGTCGCAAAAGGGGATCACGTGACCCTTCTGGGGCACTGAGGCCGTCATAAATACGAGCCGGTGGCCGAGCGTCTGAATTTTGATCACGGGGAGGCTGCAACGGTCGTTAAGTGTGAAAAACGTCCACGAGTCGCTTTCGTATCTTTGAACGGTCACTAAACGGAGGGCTGTAATTCGGGGACTGCCTCTACGTGGCCAGCTGAGCAGATCCCGCCTTGGGCATTGCAGGCAGTCCTCCACTTATGGGCCCTTCATTTAGTGACGGTTGACAACCGCACCAGGGGAAAAAAATGAGCTGCGACGGTTCACAGCGCCCCCTGGGGGCAACGTGAGGATCCGAATTCAGGGCCCTGGCAGCCGCCGGTACGGACTGAGGGCGGTTGCAGCTTTCTGGGATCAGGGGATCTGTGACTTTGCCCCGGGGGAGGCAAGATTCGATTTATGACCCCTTCTGATTCACTTAACAACCGTGGGGGAAAAGTCCGCAGAACCAGGCGCGACTGACTCAAGCGCCTCGCTGAGCCACAGAGGTTGTAAGTTGAGGACGACCCATGCTTGCCTCAGAGACCCCCACGACGCCCCCTTCCCCAACCTGCCTGGATCTGCCCGACCCCTTCCCCAGAGCGGAGCCCTCGTCCTGCTCAGCTGGCATAAAGACCGGTCAGCTGCCCGGACAGGGGACCCGTAAGACCCTCTGCCTCTTACGGCCCTTTGGGAGAGGTTGGCCCTGCCCCTCCCCTCCAGTACGTCCCCCACGCTCGGCGCCGCACCTGGTGGAAGATGAGCGCCTGGCTGATGTAGCCCCAGGAAGAGGCGGCCGAGCGCAGGTGGATGAAGGCCAGCAGGAGCAGCATCAGCCCCAGGCTGCCCGAGGCCCCCGCCGGGCTGATCAGGAACATCATGACCAAGCAGGAGACGATGCCAAGGAGGCAGGTGTGCCAGGAGAACAGCTGGAAGGTGGGGCTGCGGGGCGGGGGGGGGAGAGAGAGAGAGAGAGAGAGAGAGAGAGTTGGCTGGCACAGTCCCTCCCTCCCCGTCCCTTCTGGGGATTCAGCTGGCACCCCACAGACACCCCCACACCCCTCTCTCTGGGGACCCTGCACCCACCGGAAGTTGGGGGCCGAGGCCCACTCCAGCGCCAGGCAGGCCAGGTCCACGGCAGCGTAGGCGACCAGGTAGAAGACGGTGACGATGCCAGCAATGGTGTTGAGTTTCCCGACCAGAAGCACCAGCTGGGGACGGCAGGAGGTCCTTATAGGGGGGAGGACCTGGAGAAGGCCCCCAGCCCCCAGCGGATGGGTGCCCATCTTCCATCTGTGACCCCGGGCTCTCCGGAGACCCCTGGCCCTGATAGCCTGCTGAAGGCCCGGAGGGGGCAAGGAACAGGCCCTGTATGGACCGGGAGTCTCCAATCGTGGCCACTTTAAGACTGGTGGACTTCAACTCCCAGAATTCCCCCCCTCCCCGTCCTTATACTGGCTGGCTGGGGAATTCTGGGAGTTGAAGTCCACCAGTCTTAAAGTGGTCACGATTGGAGACCCCCAGCTATGGGTGGAGCCCAGAGAAGCCTCCCTCCACCTGCTGTTCTGGGTCCTGAGGGCCTGGGGGGGGGAGGCGTTACCTGCGCGAGGCCCCAGGTGTAGAGGACGGCCACCCAGGGGTTGCCCCCTCTGGAGACAATCTTGGCCGGAGCCAGGACAGGCCCTGCGGGGAGAGAGAGAAGCAGCGGCTGGACCTCCCTGGCCAGGCGGAGGAGGGCAGGGACCGAGGAGGGGGCTCCGTGGGTGGGCAGGGGGCTCCACTCACCAAAGAGGTCGTCCTTGGCCAGGGCGTGGAGGATGCGGGAAGCACCAATCAGGTTACTCATGGAAGCCGAGAGGGAGGCGGAGTAGATGCCCATCAGCACAAAGGGAGGCCAGACGTTGATGGACCGGAAGAAGCCGTAGTCGCCCTTCAGGAGGGCCCTGGGGAGGTCAAGGGGGGGGTCAGTGTTCCCCCTGCCAGCACACCTCCCCCTGACCAGCCCCACCTGGAGGCACGGCCCCCACCTCTTCATTTATTTATTTGAGACTTATATACCGCTTTAAGTGCAAGCACTCTCTAAGCAGTGTACACCAGAAAGCAGTGTATATGTATATATTTACATTGCCCCCAACCATGTGGGTCCTCATTTTACCTACCCCGGAAGGATGGAAGGCTGAGTCAACCTTGAGCCGGTGAGATTTGAACCGCTGACCTGCTGAACACAGTCAGCTAAAGTGGCCTGCAGTACTGCACTCTAACTGCTGCGCCACCTCGGCTCATGCCCTCAGTCTGCCCCCCCCATGCCAGCCTTGAGTCCACAAAGTCACTAGCGGATGGGGGGGGGACGGGAGTCCGGCGACCTGCTGCGGGGGCCCCCCTCTCTGGGTCCCCCGCAGCCCCTCACCTCTCGCAAGTGAAGCTGGCCATGAAAAAGAGGAAGAAGTAGATGACGAAGGTGTAGAGCACGGCCACAATCGTCCCCCTGGGGATGGAGGCGCTGGCGTTCTTCAGCTCCCCTGCAAGAGTCGATGGGGTTAACCATCCCACCTCCCCACGGAAGCTGTCCTAGGACCCCCGAGACCCTCCCCAGGCCCCCTCCTGGCCTCACCTGACATGTTGGAGCCGGCCATGATGCCGGTGCAGCCGTTGAACATCACGGCAAAGACGGTGGCGAAAGACATCATGTTATTGGTAGTGTAGTCCCTCGAGTACATGGCTGGGGGTGGGAGTGGGGGAAAGAGCCAGGTCATCCCAGGAGGGGGGGGGGCACGGCTGCCTCCACCCCACCGCTGCGTATAGTCCTCCGTTCTTCTCCCTGCCCGCCTCCCCATGGCTTCTTGGCCAAAGGTCAGGCTGGAGGGTCACCGGGCACCCCCTGTCCAGCTGCCGGAGATCCCCCCCCGCCCGCCCCCAGGCAACGCCAGGGCCGGACGCCAGCGCTTGGCACCCCTCCTGGCCAAGCGCCCCTACCATACATGTTGTCCCTGAGGGTGGAGATGTTGAAGCCCGTGAAGGAGGCGTTGAAGGTCTGGTTTCCGCCGTGGGAGACGACGATCTCCCGAGGGGAGACGGTGAAGAAGCTGACGAAGATGGTGACAAGGACCAAGTTGACCAGCAGGAAGATGAAGAAGGCCGCCCGGGAGTAGATCTGGGCGCCCACCAGGCACACCAGCAGGCAGAGCAGCAGCACCAGCGAGCTGTAGAGGAAGCTGTACAGGTAGCCCTGAGGCAGCGTCTTGGTGCCCGGCGGGTCGGATCCATCTGGGCCAGGAGGAGGAAGAGGGAGGGATTCACACCCGTGTCCGGAGCAGGACAGGCTAGGCAAGCTGCCCTCACTCTGCACCCCAGCCCCGGGGGTCCGACTTCTCCCGGAGGGGCTTCAGGCCCACCTGCGCCGAAGACGTCCAGGATGGCTTCCACCAGGCCCAGGACGTAGACGCCGCAGGCACAGACGTTGGCCAGGTAGAACATGAGGCCGATGCTCCCCCCGAACTCGGGGCCCAGAGTCCGGCTGATCATGACTGGGGAGTGGGGGGGGGAGTTAAGGCAAAGTGTCCATAAAAACACACCCGGAACACCCACAGCCACGGCACCCTTGAGAGGGAGCCCCACAGAGGCAGAGCTGGCGAGGGGGTCTCTCTCTCCCTCATGCCGGACTTTTGGGGGGCTTGGCTGGTGAGTTCTCGCCACCTGGGCGGTCCCTGCTCCCCCCTCCCGGCCTGCAGCTTGTAGGGGCTTTGAGAGGTCCTGTCAATCCCTGGGTGAGATGCTATAGCCCTGCATCGGAGGTGGGGGGGGGAGCAGGAAGCCCATGTGCCACATCTCCCCCTCCAGAGCACAGCCTCCGCGGGGTCTGGGGAGGGCAGGGCGCACACCCAGGCAGGGCCTTGGAGGTGCCAGTATCGAGGTGACCTCGGATGACCTGGAGGAGTTGAGCAGGGCTACCCTCCTGGCGGATGGGGACTCGGAGGGGAGATGCAGGCAGGGCAGGGCTGCCCCGTCTGGAGCCTTGACAGCCTCCTTCCAGGACCCCAATCTCTGCCCCTTCCAGGGGGGGGAAAGAGACCCCAGCCCCAAAGGATACAGTAGGCGCCCCCAGCCTGGACGGCCCCGTTGGTGGAGATGGCGCACACGGAGAGGACCGTCAAGGAGATGATCAGATAGGCCACCACCAGCATCAGGAGCGACTGCAGGAACCCGGCGTGGCCCACCACAAACCCTGGGGAGGGGGCGAGGGGTGAGCGCTGGGCTCCTCCCCCTGCTGGGAAACCTGCCTGCCCCCCCCCGGCCTCCCTCCCCAGCGGGATCTATCCCGGATCCGCTTGGCCGGAGGGTCCGGAGTCCCCCGGAGCCCCCCCAGCCGACGGGACGGGGGGGGGGCGGGCGTCCCACCTACCGACTCGCATGAAGACCACGATGCTGAACATGGAGAGGACGGTGGGCACGATCACCCCGAAGAAGGTGGAGAGCTGGCGGGCCGGGTCGGGGCCGCCGCCGCCGCTGCCGGAGGCCGAGCCCACCACCAGGGGCGCCTCTTCCTGGGCGACCCCCGCCATCTCCGCGTCCCCCGACAGCCGAGCCAGGCGGCCGCTGAGCAGCGGGGAGCTCTCCGTGGACATGGCCCGGGCCGCTTAGCTGGGGGGGGGGGGGAGGGGAGGGGAGGGGGCGATGAGAGGCTGCCGCAGACCCCCCCCCCAGCCTTCCTCGCCCCCTCCTCCAGGCAGGCCGGCGCAGGAGGCAGGAAGCCGACTTCCGGGAAGGAGGGGCTGCCCGCCCGCTCCTGGATGGAGCTTCCGCGTTCAGAGAGAGTCTATCTGGGGGCAGCAGTCGCCGCCCTCCACGGCGGGAGAAGGGGGTGGGGGTCGACTTGCGCCCCCAGCCCGGCCCATCCAGAGGGCGCCTCTTGCGCCAGCGTGCTCCGCGGGGCAGTCCGGGAGGGCAAAGGGGGGTCCTCGGGGGGCGCAGGGGAGGATGGAGCGGGGCGAGCAGCGCGGAGGCGGCGGCGCAGCTGTTTCTGCCGCCCGGGGGGGGGCTGGGCGGGGCGGGGCGGGGGCGGAGCAGCTGAGCTCTCCAAACGGGGGGGGGGAAGGGAAGGGTCGGAAAAGGCGAGAGGGGGGAGGGGTGCCGCGGGCCCGATCCTCTCCGAGCCGCTCCCCTCCCTCAAGGGGCCGAAGACCGGCTCCGAGAGCCCCCCGCCCGCTTCTCCGCGCCCCGCACCCACCTGGCTCCGGGCTACCGGTCACGGGCTCTGCGTGTGACCGAGCCGGCCGGGCCCTGGCCGCGGGGCCGCATCCTCGCCCGTCAGCTCAGATCCTGCCGGGCGGGGCGGGGAGGGCGGGGCGGGGGCGGCGCCAGGGACGGCGGGGGGGGGGCCTCCCGGGCCGTCCTCCGCAGCGCCCGCCAGGCGGGGGGGGCAGAAGCGGGGAGCCCTTCTCGGCGCCCCAACTTTGCACCGCTGCTGCGGGGGTGGCGGGAAAATGAGGGGGCGCCCCCGGCCGCGCCCCCTCCGAGGGAAGGTCCTGAAATGCTGCCCGCCTGCGGGAGGGTCTGCTCGGACCGCAGCTGCAGCGCGGGAGGGGTCCCCGCTTTTCCTGCCCCCAGCTCTGCGGTAGTTCTTCCCAACAGGTGGAAAGTTGGGGACCCCCCCACCCCAACTTCCCTGCTTGTGGCTGCCGGGAAGGCGATGGGCGAATCGCAACCCCCCCTCCCCAATCGCAGCGATCCTAAACTAAGATAAACTCTTCATTGATGGTAATTTGTTTTTAAGTGTCCCAATGGCCTGAAGGTCTCTGGATCGTTCAGCCCTGCAGCAACCTGGAATTAAGGAGAAACTTCCTGACAGTGAGGACAATTAACCAGTGGAACAGCTTGCCACCAGAAGTTGTGGGTGCTTCAACACTGGAGGTTTTTAAGAACAACCCAAGTGGGGCAAGAAGAGCGTGAAATCGCATAAAAGGGGGAACAGGCTGGGACAGTCCCCACCTCTGCAGGTGAGAATCCAGTGAAAAGACAACCAGGGCTCCACCAAAGCAAGGGCTGGCATTTGCAGGTATTGTGTGTGTGTGCATGTGTGTGGCTGCTTGTGTGGCTGCCCTGGCACCCTGGGAGGGGTATGAGGCTTAGAGATCCAGAAGAACCCCCCTACAGAAGTGGGGCGTGCCTCTCATCGAGGAACCCCCTTTTCTCGACTGGCGCATCCTTCCGGCCCCACGGCTTCGCCGGGCCCAAGTGGTGCCTCCCCCTTGGCCACCTCTGGTTCCCTGCTATCTCCGGGCTATGAAAAACCACAACAGCCACTTGCTTCACGATAAGAGACCGAGATAACCCCTGGACCTTGGAGAAAGTTGCAGCTAGGGCGGGTGGGTGGGAGGGGCGGCCAGGGGCTGCACCAGAGTCTCCATTGCTGAATGGCAGAGGGAGGCTGCTGGGTGACTGGGGGGGGGGAGCTGCAGACCCCCTACCCAAGCAAAGCCGGTGCACAAGAGACATTTGCAACCTCTTCTCCGATCCTGGTGGTGCTGTGGGGTGTGCGAAAGGGCCGGTTCCCAGCGGGGTCTTCCAGGGGGGCTGACTTTCGTAAAAACTTCAGTATTGGGTCACTAGGTCTCTCCGGGGGTTTGGGGAGGGGGTCTTGTTTATACCACCCACGCTGGGCATTGACCCAGGACAGTGCTGGGGCTGAGCCAAGCCGGGATACACAACGGCCGCACACAGACATCCGGACACTTTGTGAGGCCTGGCTGCTGCACGTTCCAGGCTGAGCGACAGGGCTGGTCATGTCAGAGAAAGCAAGTGGCTTTTAATATTTCTTAACGTTTATTTGTATTCCAGATTCTTTATTATTTTTATAACTAGTTCAAGGTGGCAAATGCAACACTTTTTCTTCCTGTTTTCCGCACAACAACACTGTGAGCTGGCTAAGAGAGGAGGACTGGCCCAAAGGCACCCAGTCGGCTTTCGTGCCTAAGGCGGGACTAGAACTCACCGTCTCCTGGTGACTGGCCCAAGGTCACCCAGTTGCCTTTCATGCTTAAGATGGGACTAGAACTCACCATCTCCTAGAGATTGGCCCAAGGTCGCCCAGTTGGTTTTCATGTCTAAGGCCCAACTAGAACTCACCATCCCCCGGTTATTGGCCCAAAGTTACTCAGCCGGCTTTCATGCATGAGGCAGGACTAGAACTCCCAGCCGCCTGGCTTCAGACAAAGGAGGGGGCAGGAAGGCTCTTTCTTGCCATGTAGCAAAAACCCAAGTGGGCTTCCGGGAGGGCTTGGGTGTGGGTCTCTCTCCAGGGGGATTCCCAGCCATGGGGAAGGGGCTCAACCTCAATACTCAGAGGGAGGGGAAGCCCAGCTGGGTCCCTTCCCCAGAGCCCCCAGGGGAGGCGGCGCTTGGTGAGTTTAGGGTGCCCGTCCTGAGTTCGAAGCTCAACCCACACCTGGTTCTCTTCAGGAAGTGCCCTCCTGGTGAGCTGGTGGCCAGGAGCGCCCACGCTGTTTCCCTGGCAAGGGTAGGCAGAGCTGGCTGCAAGCCCGTCAACTGGGCTGCCCCCCAACAGAGGAATTGGTTTGTCCCAGAAGGCCGTGGGGGACCCCCGTTCAGGCGAACAGGCAGCGATTCCCATGCGGCCAATGAGGTCGGGGAGAGACCAGCCCTGGCATGGCCGGAAAGCCTGCAGTCCTGCCCCACAATCACCCCCTCGCTGGGCCAGGCCTTGTGGGGCAGAGGGGAGGGGCCACAGCCTTCTTAATCTCCGGTCATAATGGCCCCATTGAAGTGCTGCTCCTTTGCAAACAGCCAGCGGATAAAGTTAATCAGCGCAAACAAGGACTGTGATAAAACTCTTGGCAGCCTCCAGGGGAGCCTTCCGGGCCTGGAATTCCCAGGTACACCCTCCCCCATCAGGCTGGGCTCCATTTTCTTCCTCGCCTGGGGGCTGTGCCCTGTGGGAAGTGGGGCAGAGGCAGCTGGTAGAGGAAGCCTCGGGCCGAGAACCAAGGTTAGCCATAGCTACGGAGCGCCAGCTGTTGGGGGAACCCCTGGAAGAAGCAGGGGTGAGGGGGGGGGCGCAAAGGTGTGACTACAAATCAGCAAAGGCTCTAAATCTGGAAATGTTCCAGCTGATTTCAGTTTGGTCAGATTCCCACATGAACAGTTCTGCATCCCAATTTAAGGATGGATGGCTGAGGAATTCTGGGAGTTGAAGTCCACCCATCTTGAAGTAAACTGGCCGAGGAATTCTGGGAGTTGAAGTCCACCCATGTTAAAGATGCTGACTAGGGGATTCTGGGAGTTGAAGTCCACCCATCTTAAGGATGCTAACTAGGGGATTCTGGGAGTTGAAGTCCACCCATCTTGAAGCAAGTTTGATTCTGGGAGTTGAAGCCCACCCATCTTAAAACATGCAGTCTGGGGAATTCTGGGAATTTGCCCATCTTAAGCTTACCAAGGTTGAGATGCACCCTGAGTTCTGCATGGGGTCCTTGCTATGCCCCTTCTGCCCCCCCCCCTTTGCCCAGGGGCTGGGATGGCCCCGCAGCACTAAAGGCTCCAGCTGGGCCCGGCCTGCCCAGGCCTGTGAAAGGCGACGCCTGCTCTTTTGAGACATTTTCCAAACATTATCTTTATTAGAGTCCTCGACTAGCCTTTACGGAGTACAATAAAAAAGGAATAGTTTAACACAACAATTTGTTGTCGGGGAACAGAAAAACACAATAGGACAACAGAGCAACATATCCAATTATTGCAAAGTTGTATAGTTTGCTGGTGAAGACATTTTGCCCAGCTGATGTGTGTGAGGCTGGCCTCCCTTAACGAATAATAAGCATTTATCCTTGTGGGCCTCGCATTGGAAATGATGGGGGCAATCAGAGCACATCTGGGGGGGGGCGCTTTGCAAACTGGTCCACTCTGATGCTGCTATGGGGTGAGTGTCTCTCACCCCTGGCCCCACATGCTGGCTGGGGGCCTCTGGGAAGGCTCCTTATCTTGAGGAAAGTCGCCACGGCTGAGAAGTGCGGATTCAGACGCAGGCGGAACATCTGGGATCAGGTTGCTACCCAGAGGAATTGCTCGGATGGCACGAGGAACATCTGTGCAGCTGCAAAGGGGCTTTCCGGAAGGCCCCCCCCCACGGCTGCTGGACCCATCTGAGTCCCAGCTGGCAGACAGAGGGGAGTCCCAGTCTCTGTCACGGGACCCTCCCCCTAAGAGCCCCCAGGACGGTCCCAGGAGGGCAGATCTCCAGGCTGGAGAGGGGAGCCTGCACGGGAATATCTGGGTGGCCAAGGGGGCCCTCTACCCCCTCCCTGACAGCGGTGCAAACGGGGGCCAATCCAGGCGGGCTCCCTGGGGGCCGGGCTGGCAGCAGCTGTCGAGGGGCAGCCTGGCACCTGCTCCTCAGGCGAGGCTGCCCTGTCTCTTGGGCATCTGGAGCAAAGACACCGGTCGCTGGCTTGCTCTGGGCCTGATGGAAAAAGAGGCAGATCAGCCCCAGGGAGGGAGGGAGGCTGGGGACCTGCAGCTCCTCACGGTGGCAAACCCTTCCTGCCCTGGGTGCAAGGCCCAAAGAGCCTGCTAGCCATCCTTGGCAGTGGGAAGGGGTGCCCAGCACGAAGGGGGAGGCTGCCGCGGCAGCTGCCAATCACAATCAATCCACCTGCTTCACCTGGGTGTTTGGCTTTTGGTGTTAGAGCTCCCCCTGCAGGTGGGTTCAGGTTGTGCTGGGAAATTAAATCTGGGATTTAAATCCCCCCTCCTCTCCCTGGTTGCCCCCACCCCCTTTGCTCCTGGCAGGGGCCAGCTGGCCTGGCTCCCTGCCCCACTTGGCTGCCTGCAGCTCAACCAGGGCATTTTCTTCCTGGCCTGAGCCTGGCGGGGTAGGGCAAATGGTTGGGGGGGGGGTCTTTCTTTGAACCTCACTGTGGGTGCAGCGGGGCCTGCAGGAGAGCTGCCCCTCCCCATGGAATAGGATCTCCAAATTCTCATATATATGGGCTCTCAGAGAGGTGGTCTGGATAAGTAGTTCTTCCTTTCCCCTCCCCTCCCCTCCTCTCCCCTCCCCCTTCCTTCCTTCCTTCCTTCCTTCCTTCCTTCCTTCCTTCCTTCCTTCCTTCCTTCCTTCCTTCCTTCCTTCCTTCCTTCCTTCCTTCCTTCCTTCCTTCCCTCCTTCCTCTGTGTTCCTGCAGATGTCCTTCCCCTCCTGGGGGTGCAGAGATGAGGCCCGTCAAGCAACTTGGTGGGTAGAGTTGGGGTTGAGGTCCTCTCATTGTCCCCCCAATTAAGCCAGCTCCAGAGATGGGTGGGTGGGTGAGAAAGAGTCCTGTTGTGACCTATGGCAAGCTGCCCTGACAAACTAGGGGGGCCGGGGGGTGTCTTTGCTTGAGGTGGACGAGGGGGGCCTCTTCCCGTGGGCCTGGGTCTCACAAGCCAGCGAAGCCTGAAAGACAAAAGGGCAGAAGGTTACCCATCAGAGCGGCCCAGGTGGGCTGGGTGTCAGCTGCTCAGTGCCCGGGGGGGGGGCTCACCTGAGGTCGAGATGATGGAGACGCGATCTTCTTTCTGCTGTATCTTGTACCCACTGAATAGACACAAAGGCAAAATGAGTCTGGGGGAATCGGGGTCTGAAGCACCTCCGGGAAGCGGAGGAAGCACAACCACAAAGGCCACCCACCCCAGCCCTGCTTAGTGCCCCCCTGGAGGTTCTCCTGCACCCGTGGCATCCCTCGCAGTGCCCAGGACAAGGCTAGTCTGAGGCTAAAACAGGAGGGCTGCATTGTGGTTCAGTTCCTGGGCCATCTCACACCTGGACGGCTGATTGTGGGTCTCCTGTGAGGCCAACACAACCCTTGGCAGGCAGGCCTTGACCTACGGCAACGGGAGAAGCCTGGCGAGGAAGAGGAGGGGTCTGGTGGGGGGGAGTGCAGTGCGGGTGGCAGGAACTGCAGAGAACAGACCCATTCGGGGCTGCCTTGCTGTGGGATGGGCGAGGCTGGCTGGAGGGCACAAGGGAGGCAGCGTGTGGGTCGGTCCCTGGAGCACACTGGCAGGGCAGCACCGACGGCTCACGGGGGGGGGGGCTGAGCTGGTGGCCAGCCCCAAACTTCTCTCCTTGTGCCCTCTGAGCTGGGCGGCTTCCTTGCAGAGGCTTCACTACCCAAACTGGGTGACAAGAGCACTGATGATGTTACCTAGTTGGGTCATGAAACGTCCGCAAGAAAACAAGCTCAGAGAGCACCCAGGACCCCACAGTCCTGCTTTTTTTTCTCTTCCTCCTCCTCCTCCTCTCCACAAACGTTATTCCTTCTAGCACTGATAATGTTGCATATTTGGGTAATGAAATGTCCACAAGAAAACAGCCAAGCTCAGAGAGGACCAAGGGCCCCCCATTCCTCCTCCTCCTCCTCTCTTTCCAAACCCCCTCCCTTCTGTTGTTGTTGTTAATTGCAAAGTCGTGTCCGACCCATCGCGACCCCATGGACAACGTTCCTCCAGGTCTTCCTGTCCTCTACCATCTTCTGGAGTCCATTTAAGTTCACACCTACTGCTTCAGGGACTCCATCCAGCCACCTCATTCTCCGTCATCCCCTTCTTCTCTTGCCCTCCATCTTTCCCAGCATTAGGCCCTTCTCCAGGGAGTCCTTCCTTCTCATTAGGCGGCCAAAGTATTTGAGTTTCAACTTCAGGATCTGGCCTTCTAAAGAGCAGTCGGGGTTGATCTCCCTGACTGCTCTTTAGAAGGCCAGCATTGATTATATCCCCTAGTTGGGTCATGAAACGTCTACAAGAAAACCACCCAGCTCAGAGACCCACAAGGACCCCACAGTCCTCCTCCTTCCTCCTCTCCATAACCCCTTCCATGTATGTTACCTAGTTGGTTCATAAAACATTTGCAAGAAGCCCACCCAGCTCAGAGACCACTGAGGACCCTCCTTTCAACCCTGCGATACAAATATCCTCCTTTAGTGTTAAAACAGTTCTCCTTCCCGCAGGTTCGACCCTCACAAACGATACCATCGTCTCACTATCGGGGAGCCCACCCCCAAACTCCGTCCCTCTGGGGGTGCTCAATGCCAGCCAGGCCGAGGCCCCTCCTTACATATTCCGCTGCCGACAGACGCAGAAGATGATCAGGGCCAGCAGGATGACGGCCAGGGGGATGAAGATGCCCAGCAGGATGGCCAGCAAGTCGGGGTCCCCGGGGTCCCCTGGAGGGAGGAGAAGAGCGAAGAAGGGGAGCAGGGGAGGGCATGAGGGGCTGGAGAGCCCCAGGCCCGGGGAGGGAACAGAGCAGGGGTCTGCCTACCTGGGTCAGTGGTCAGGCTGACCTCTGGCGGGGCCTGGGTGGTGCTGGTGCCGGGGGTGCTGGAGACGGGGGGCGCTGGGGTCGGGCTCTCCAGCGGGGAATCCTGGCAGAGGCTTCCTACGTAGCCCTCCAGGCAGAGGCAGAGGAAGCCCCCGGAGGTGACCTGGCACGTCCCCTCGTTCTGGCAGGGGCTGCTGAGGCAGGCGTCGTCTGCGGGGGCAGAGACGGGCGAAACGTGGCGCAAACGGGCGGCACCAACCGGGCTGCCCCAGAGGTGAGGGGCCGTCTGCCGCCACGGGGCGCAGAACGCCCCCCCCCCGGGCCCTCCCGGCCCTGCCCACCTTTGAAGCAGTTGCGGGCGTAGTTGGAGACGGCGCAAACCTCCCCTGGGCGGCAGCCTGTGGGCAAGCACTCCACGAGGGCCCCCGGGCGGCAGGTGCATCGCTGGGAACAGTCCTCCGTCATGAAGGTCTCGTTGACCTGGGGAGAAGGGGGTCGGTGCCAGGGCGGGAAGAGCCTCTGCCCACTAGATGCCCACATGGGGGGGGGGAAGGCAGAAGAGCCTGGGCAGCCCCGAGGATGCGGCTGCCGTGCCCACTCGCCACCCACCACAACTCCCAGCTCTTTCTCGGAGTCATCAAAACAGCCACGCCGGTGGGCGGGGGACGGGTCAGGCTTGGCCATGCCCACTTAAAGCCCACCGCCCCCCCTTCACCAGCCCCCCCCCATGTCTGTTTCTCAATCCAGTTTGGCAGCCCCTGGAACTGAAACGCTGGATTGATGGACTCAAGATCAGCTCCAGGTTTATTCAGAAATTTGAGAAGGTGATAGAAGGAGTCTGATTGCTTGTTTTCCCCAGCCCCACATAGGAAGGAAGGAAGGAAGGAAGGAAGGAAGGAAGGAAGGAAGACAGAAGGAAGGAAGATGGAAGAAAGTTAGGAAGGAAGGAGAAAGAAGAAAGGAAGGAGTGAAGAAGGCAGGAAGGCACAGAAGAAGGAAAAGGGGGAAGGAAGGAAAAGGAAGGAAGGAAGAAAGGAAGGAAGGAAGACAAGAGGAAAGGAAGAAAGGAAAGCAGGAAGTAAAGGGGGGAATAATGGAACGAAAGAAGAGGAAGGATGGAAGGAAGACAGGAGAAAGAAAGAGAAAGAAAGAAAGAAAGAAAGAGAAAAAGAAAGAAAGAAGGGAAGAGGACGGAAGCTCCCACCTGGTAATACTGCCCATGGCTTAAGCAGCCACACTGGTCGTAGGGGACGTTGACCAGCCCGCTGAGGACGTAGCCGGGGGCGCTGGCACAGCCCTCCACGCAAGGGGCCTCGCAGCTGGACGGGGCAGCCATGTTGGCACAGCTGGCCGGGCAGGCGGTCATGCAGGGCTGGTAGTTGGTGTGGGCCGGGCACGCCATCGCTGTGGGGGGGGGGAGAGAGAGAGCTCTGCCATTGGACTCCCAAATTATGCCTCGCAGGCAGCCCCTTCCCCAAAGGGCCCTGCTGACCGGACCGTAAACGGGGCCTGCCCATGTCGTAAAACGGGCCTGCCACCCGACCCACCCTATTTCATGATCTTTTTTTTTTTGCAGTGGTGGTCGTTAAGAGAATCAGTGGCGGTCGTTAAGTGAGGGCGGGGTTGCTTATGGCCATGGGTTTGAGCAAAGGGCCCGAAGCACGTTGACCTGCCTGCAGAAAGACCGTCGGAACGCAGAATCTGAGTCAGGCGGACCTCCCTGGGGCTACAGGTGAGTGGACGTAAAACGAGGACGCTCTAGCTTTTAGTCTAGCTCCTTTGGAGAGGCAGGGGAGATGGCGCGAGCCCGCTTTGGAGGACCCCCCCCTCTATTTATGCCAGGCAGGGCCCGGGGTACTCACGGCAGCCGGTGTCCTGCCTCCAGCGCCCCAGGTCCACCTTCTCCTCCTGGCATAGCTGGGCATAGGCCTCCAGAGCCTGGCACAGCAGCTCCGTGTCGTTAAACAAGGCACACAGGTCGTAGACGCAGCCCCTGGAAGCCCACGGGGGAAGCCGTTAGACACAGCCGGGGGGAGGGTCCTTTGGCCTCGCCCCGGGACCCCCCACCCCGCTTGCACACTCACTCTTGGAAAGGTGCAGGGGACACCGCGGCGTGGCAGGCCGAGAAGGGGCCAGCGGGGTCCGACAGCACCCCGCAGGCCTTGGTCCCGTTGACGACGGCCAGCTGTCCTGGGGTGCAGTCCATCTCGAAGCCCGATTCGGGCTCTTCGTCCGGTTCCTGACGCCTTTGGGGAAAGAGGGGCTGCTTCAGGATTCGCACCCGGGGCCGGCAGCCAAGCCAGAGCCACAGCCCTTTGGGGTGCTCAAACCAGCAAGGTCGATGGAGGGGACCTTGGAGGTCTTCCAGTCCAGCCCCCTGCTCAAGGAGGAGACCCTTGAGACAGGCGGCTGTCCAGTCTCTTTTTTTTTTTAAAGGCCTCCAGGGATGGAGCACCCACAACTTCTGGTGGCCAGCTGTTCCACTGGTTAATAATCCTCACTGTTAGGAAGTTTCTCCTAAATGCCAGGTTGCTTCTCTCCTTGATTAGTTCCCATCCATTGTTTCTTGTCCTGCCTTCAATGAATGAATGAATGAATGAATGAATGAATGAATGAATGAATGAATCAATCAATCAGAAAATAGAGCTGGAGGGGACCTTGCAGGTCTTCTAGTCCAGCCCCCTGCTCAAGCAGGAGACCCTATACCATCTCAGACAAGTGACTGTCCAGTCTCTTCTTAAAAACCTCCAGTGATGGAGTGCCCACAATTTCTGATGGCCAGCTGTTCCACTGGTTAATTCTCCTCACTGTTAGGAAGTTTCTCCTTAATTCCAGGTTGCTTCTCTCCTTCATAATTTTTCCATCCATTGCTTCTTGTCCTGTCTTCCTAGACTGATTGATTGATTGATTGTAGTAGTGGTAAAGTAAAGTTGGAAGGGACCTTGGAGGTCATCTAGTCCAACCCCCTGCTCAGGCAGGAAACCCTATCCTATTTCAGACAAAGGGCTGTCCAGTCTCTTCTTAAAAACTTCCATCCTTGCTTGATTATTCCTGGGGGCCCAGTACCCTCCCTCCTCCCTCCCGGGACCCTCCCTTCATGCCTTCCACGGTGCCCCCCAGCTGACCTGACTCTGCCAGGGCTGAATTTTCCGCTCCCTCCGTCCAGCTCCTTGTTCTTGACTGAGACCTGCCAGCTGTTGCCAAAGGCATTGAGGGTCCGGGCCAGGGTCCCGTCCGGCTTCATGTACTCATTATTGCGACGGCCATCGTAGTTCCCGCAGAGGCCGCCAACCCGCTTCTGGTAGGTGCTGGGCAGGACAATCTCTGAGGACGAAGAGAGAAAGAGGGACCCTCGTCTCAGCCCCCTGGGCTCTGGGTGGGTCACCCCATCACCCTTAGTGCGCTAGAGCAGGGGTCTCCAACCTTGGCATCTTTAAGACTCGTGGACTTCAACTCCCAGAATTCCCCAGCCAGCATACTCGTTGTGGCCCTGCTTACTCTCTTGTAATCCCTTTCTCTCCAATCTCTCTGCTTTAAGGGATAGGTGAGGATGTAAAATAAGGAGGGGTCTCCAACCTTGGCAACTTTAAGACTGGTGGACTTCAACTCCCAGAATTCCCCAGCCAGCATACTCCTTGTGGCGCTGCTTACTCTCTTATAATCCCTTCCTCTCCAATCTCTCCGCTTTAAGGGATAGGTGAAAAAAACACCAGGCATGGCTGGCTGGGGAATTCTGGGAGTTGAAGTCCACCAGTCTTAAAGGGGCCAAAGTTGGAGAGCCCTGCCCTAAAGTTAATCCTCCACTTAACAATTCATTTAATGACCGTTTGACGTTACAACAGCACTGAAAAAAAGGACATGACTGTTTTCCACGCTTATGACCGTTGTGGTCCCGTGACCAAAATTCAGACGCTTGGCAACTGACTCATATTTACGACAGCTGCAGAGTCTCGGGATCAGGTTGACTCCCTTTTGTGGCCATCCATAGAAGTCATAAAATGGGGCAAAACTCACTTAACGACTGTCTTGCTTACCAACACAAATTTTGGCTTCAATTGTGGTCGTAAGCCGAGGACCGCCTGTGCTTGAGGTCAGGGCTGCTGTAGCTGCCCCTGAGGTTCAGATGCCCTCTGGGGACCCCGAAAGACCAGCGGAGGGTCTTGTGTCAACCCTCTAGAAGGGGCGTGGATGATGGGTTATGTTGAGCTCTACCTAAGGAGGGCACCTCCCTTGCCTGCCTTCCCAGGGGTGCCAAAGAGGATGCCCACCTTGTGAATACCTGGTGCTCCATCTGGGGAGGCCCCCCTCCCCCTTTTCTGCTTTGCACCCGGCCCCCGCAGTGATACTCAAGCCCCTCGGCTGGGCCAGGGGGACGAGACCCCTCACTCCTCAGGCTGTTGGTTTCCAGTCTCCTCTGGATGCCGCTCACCAGATGGGTGAGCAAAGGAGTCTGAGCTATTTCAGGGTGTGGGGGGGGCAGCCCACCCCCTCTCTTTGCACCCTAACCCACACCCTCCCTGCCCTTGAACGGTCCCTTCCCCACAAGAGGGCTCTTCCTGGCCAGGAACCGTGGTCCGAGGGCGGAGGCCAAGGCCCAGTCAGCAGGAGACGTTCACGTCCCACCCCTCCTCCTCCTGCCCCCTCCCTCCCCAGATAATACTGACCGGCACCGTTTTGGCCATCATACGAGAGCGAGAAGCCGAAATTGGTCTGGACAATCAACCTGCGGCCCCTCTGGGTGATCTGGAGCCCCTCCGTGGGGGAGTAGGGAGGAGTGACCCTCACACCGTTGACCTGGAACCAAGGGGGGAGAGCCGTCACTGGGGGCGGCAGTCGGGGGGGGCAAAGGTGAAAGGACCCCCGCCCCCAAAGCAGCCCCTCCGGCAGTTTGTTCACATGGAGCCATGTGAAGCACCGCCTGGGGGGGGGTCCTCCTAGCCACTTACCGCCATCTTGCGCCCCTGCATGAGGGTGATCTGGAAGCCCAGCACCTCCACGTAAAGCTCGCGCAGGAAGGAGACGCGGTGGAGGATGGACCGGCGGTGGTTCCGGCCCGCCACGGAGACGGGCTCCAGCCCTTCGGGGAGTCGCCCCAGCGTCTGAGTCAGGGTGTACGTGCAGCGCCCTTGGAAGTGGTGGACGAAGTTGTCGAAGGTGCGGTAGTGCGGGTCCCCCGAGATCACACACTGGTGGAAGGCTGCCAGAGAAAGGGAGTTGGTGAAATCGGGGAGGGGGGCAGAGCCAGGTGGGGACCCCTACCCCATAGCCCTGGGCGCCCCGCGGACTCACTGGTGGGCCGACAGTAGTGCAGGCCCTCGGTGCTGGTGCTGCACAGGGACCCCGTCGGGCAGCTGAAAGGCTGGCACTGAATTTGCCCGCCCAGGCAGATGCAGCGTTGTTGGCAGCCGCTCGTCACCCAGGTGTCTCCATTCTGCAAAGGAAGCGCAGTGGGTGAGGCTCGACGCCGCGCTCAGCTGCCCCCCCCACCAATTTCAGAAGATACCCTTGTGGGCGCCCGGATGGAAGACCACCAGGCGATCTCCACTGGACAGACCCCCCTCAAAGATCCTGGGAGGAACCGAGGGAAGAGATTCTGCGGGCTACTCGGATCGTGGGCGTCACAGGCTAAGTGGTGCCAGCTTCGGCTCTGGGTGCCCGAGGGGGGCACTGCCCACCTCAAGCGGGAGTCCACGCAACCTTCCTCCCCCACTTACATTGTGGTACTCCTGCTGATGGTCCCGACACCCACACTCCCGCATGGGGACACACGTGAGGTCGCTGAGCACGTAGCCCCGGTCGCAGGCGCAGCCCTCCACGCAGGGCGTGGGGTAGTGGCAGCTGGCAGGGGCGTAGAGGTTGGAGCAGGTGGCTGGGCACGGAGAGGCGCACTCGGAGAAGTGGCTGTCCGGAGGGCAAGGAAGAGCTGCGCCAGGCGGAAGCACAGAAAAAGCAATAATTGTTTTTGGAAACAGAATTTCGGAAACTCCCTTTGTTTTAGACCAGGAGTAGGCAACCTCAGCTCTTTTATGACTCATGGACTTCAACTCCCAGAATTCCTGAGTCACCCATGCTGACTCAGGAATTCTGGGAGCTGAAGTCCATGAGTCATAAAAGAGCCGAGGTTGCCTACCCCTGTTTTAGACCAGGAAGATATTTCTAGTAAACTACGTGCTGCTTCTGTCTGTGTGTGTGTGTGTGGGGGTGCTTTTACACTAATCTGATGGCACCAATAAAGGTAGTCCTCAATTTACGACACAATGGAGCCCAAACTTGACACAACAACTGTCAAGCATTGTCAAGCACCCCGATTTTGGTCACACGCTGGGACGAGTGTAAGTGTGAAAAACGCTCGTAAGTCACTCTTTTCAGGGCTGTTGTAACTCTGAACGGTCACTAAACAAATCATCGTAAATCGAGGACTACCTGTAATAGCCACTACAACACAAGGACAGCTATGCTTCGAGTTACGACCACAATGGAGCCCAAAATTTATGTTGCTAGGTTAAACATTTGTTAAGTGACGTTTGCCTCATTTTATGACTTTTCTCGTCATGGTAAGCGAAATGCTGCATCTGTGAAGCCAGCCACACGGTCGTTAAGTGAATCCGGCTTCCCCATTGACTTTGCTTGTCAGAAGGTCGCAAAATGGGATCACATAACCTCCCAGGGCTCTACAACCGTCATAAATATGAGTCAGTTGCCGAGCGTCTGAATTTTGATCGTGTGACCACGGGGAGGCTGCGACGAGGGTGTGAAAAACAGCCCTAAGTCACATTTTCCGGTGCCGTTGTAACTCCGAACGGTCACTAAATGGGCTGTTGTAAGTGGAGGACCACCTGTATGAAAAACCTAGGTGGAAAGTCACACAACAGGGCTGGAAGACCACAAAGTGACAAGGGTGGGGATGCTGGGGCATTGTGGGAGAAGATGGACCCAAAGAGGCAGAAGTTCCTTCGTGAGGTGCCTGCTGCACATCCTTGGCTCTTTTATGACTGGTGGACTTCAACTCCCAGAATTCCTGAGCCAGCCATGCTGAGGGGAAAGGGAGAGGTTTCCAAGCTGAGCCAGGCTGGCTCAGGAATTCTGGGAGTTGAAGTCCACCAGTCATGAAGGGGCCATAGTTCCCTCACGCTGGCTAAGGAATTCTGGGAGTTGAAGTCCACAAGCCATCAAAGGGTCATAGTTCCCTCACGCTGCCTGAGGACTTCTGGGAATTGAAGTCCACAAGTCATCAAAGGGTCATATTTTCCTCACGCTAGCTGAGGAATTCTGGGAATTGAAGTCCACCAGTCATGAAGGGGCTACAGTTCCCTCATGCTGGCTCAGGAATTCTGGGACTTGAAGTCCAGAAGTCATCAAGGGAGCCATAGTTCCCCCCCCCCCCCGCGCTGGCTGAAGAATTCTGGGAGTTGAAGTCCACCACTTGTGAAGGGGCCATAGTTTCCCCATGCTGGCTCAGGAATTCTGGGAGTTGAAGTCCACGAGTCATAAGTGGCTCATAGTTCCCTCATGCTGGCTGAGGAATTCTGGGAGTTGGTCCACAAGTCATAAAAGAGCCAAGGTGGCCTAGCCCTGGACTAGTCTCTTGCGTCACTTGTTGTGGGTTTTTGTATGTGTGGCCCTCTGGGCCCCCGCCTGCTGTCCCCTGAGGCGCTTACGGCAGAACGTGCTGTTCCTCCAGGAGATGCCGGCCACGCCGTGGCTCCTGCAGGCCTCCACGTAGGCCTGGATGTTGTCGCAGAGGACGGAGGCCATGCCCTGGTACTGGCACATGTCGTAAAGGCAGTTCTGGAAGAAGAGCTTGGGGTCGATGAGGGAGTGGCAGGCCTGGTACTTGGGCGCCATGATCTCCATGCACAAGGCGCCCAGGCGCTCCAGTTCCTGGCGGGAGCAGCTGGATTCCGAGTCCGGACGATTGTCTGGCTGGCAGCTGTTGGTGGGAAGGAGGAAAGGGAAAAAGAGGCCGTGATACTTTAGGAGGAATAACAATCCATTAGGATAGAGCTGGAAGGGACCTTGGAGGTCTTCTAGTCCAGCCCCTACTCAAGCTGGAGACCTTGTATCATCTCAGACAAGGGGCTGTCCAATCAGGAAGGAAGGAAGGAAGGAAGGAAGGAAGGAAGGAAGGAAGGAAGGAAGGATAACAACAAGAGTTGGAAGGGACCTTGAAGGTCTTCTAGTCCAGCCCCCTGCTCAAGCAGGAGACCTTATACCATTTCAAACAAGAAAAACACTCTATTTACGGCAGTAGTTCTCAACCTTTTTAATGCTACGACCCCCAACCAGTCGTAAGTCGAGGATTACTCAACCAGTCGTAAGTGGAGGACTACTCAACTGGTGCAGCACCGTTTGCAGAATGGGACTTTTGGCGGGCTCAGCAGGGCAGAGACAGCCTGGACAATTCCTATTGGCTTTTGAAAGCCAATAGAATTAGACTCTATTCAAGAGAGTCTATTCTATTGGCTTTCAAAAGCCAATAGAATAAAGGAGTAGCAAAGCTAAGGAAAAGGGGGGAAAAATGGCGGACTGCGTTGTTTGCGACCCCCGTGAAATGGTCGTTCGACCCCAAATGGGGTCCCAACCCACAGGTTGAGAACCACTGCTTTACAGACAAGTGTTCTATGCTGCAAAGATCCTTTGCAACGTTAGTTATAAGCTTCCTGTCGCTTCGTTTGCTGCCCACTCTTCCCCCAACAGCTTACCCTGCGTCGGCATCACCGGGTGCTTTCCAGCTGTTCCCAAACTGGCTGTCGTTGACCGCCAAATGTCCATTTGGCATCAGATAGTCGTCTGTGCTCTGGTTGTTGTAGTTGCCACACATGCCACAAACCTGGGAGGGGAAGATGGATGTGATGGGCGCGGGAGACAGGAGGCCCTCTGACTAACATTTTCAGTGAGCTACGAGTGCCTTGGATAAAGGCAGGGGTCTTCAAACTTGGCCCTTTGATGACTTGTGGACTTCAACTCCCAGAATTCCTCAGCCAGGCACGCGTGCCTGGCTGAGGAATTCTGGGAGTTGAAGTCCACAAGTCATCAAAGGGCCAAGTTTGAAAACCCTGCTTTAGAAAGTCGGGAAAATGAGTGCAGCAATCAAATGCAGGCTTACATGAAGCAGTCCGGGCCCGCCGTGCGGTCCAAAGCCTAAAAAATCCCGGTGGGCAGGTCAGGGACTTACCTTCCCGAAATATGTCCCCGGCAGCTGAATCTCCAGGTGATGGTTCCCATCAAACTTCACCACCAGCCCAAAGTTCGTCTCTATGACTACGTAGATGCCCCTGGGGACAATGGAGACCCCCGGGATGCGGCCTTCCGCAGGTACTCGCACACGCTGGCCATCGATCTGGGGTCAAACGAGAGAGCGTGACCTGGTCTCCATTTTCTGATCCTCCCTTTCTGGAGGGACCACAGCCCAAGACGGTCCCCAGACGACGTGGCTCCCATCCTAGGGAGGTGCTGTCTTGCCACCACGGCTGGGGGGGACTCCGAGACCAATGCTCCTGCCCTCCCGCCTCCTCTCCCACTCAGCCGGGACCCTCACCAGCACGCGCCGGCTCTTCTGCAGCGTGATGGTGACTCCCTGTACATAGACCGTCACATGGCGCAAGTAGGAGGCCTCTGGCTGGCCTCGCTCCTCGTTCTTGGCCGTGATATTGAAGAACGGCAGGCGAGGGTCCTGCTGGCACAGGGCCACCAGGGTGTAGGTGCAGGTGCCCATGAAGGAGACCATCTTGAGGTCAAAGGTGTAGTAGTGGGGGTCTCCAGCCACGTGGCAGGTGGCTACTCCTGAGAGAGAAGAGCAGGGGCAGAGTGGGGCTCCGTTCTGCGGCCGGCAGGGGTCCCAGAGAGGCCACTGGCCGCAGGGGGAGAGGCCTCACCTGTGTCTTGGCAGCCCAGCAGGCCGTCCACGGGCCGGCACTCCTGGACCGGGGAGCAGCTCCACCCCTCGCAGGTGATATTGTCGCCAGCAGCGCAAGAGCATCGCTGGGTGCAGTTCAGGTCCCCCATCCAGCTCTCCCCAACCTGCGGATGAAACGGGGGGGGGGCGTTGAGGTGGGACTGGTCAGGGTTTGCCTCCCCAAATCTCCCCCCCCTCTGGCTCCAGGTCTCCTGGCAGCCCTTTGGGGCACTAGCCCCTCCCGCTGTTGCTCGCCCACCGGCATGTGCCGTGCAGAGGAAGGAAGACCCCCCCCAAAGACTCAAAGGTGCCCAGCGCCTGACTTTGTCCTACAGGCAGACCTTGACTTATGACCACAATTTCCGTCACTAAGCGAGTCTGAGTTTTGCCCCGTTTTACAGCACGGTTGTTAAGTGAAACAATGCAGTGGTTTTAAGTTAAGAACGCAGTCGTTAAGTGAACCTGGACTCTCCCATTGGCTTCGCTTGTCAGAAAGGCGCAAAAGGGGATCGCGTGACCCCCCTCCCCCGGGACGTAAATATGAACCGGTCGCCAGGCGTCCAAATTTTAATCACGTGACCGTGGGGAGGCTGCAGCCGTTGTGTGGGGGAAAAAAATCACAAGTCGCTTTTTTTAAATGTTGTATCTTGGAGTGGTCACTTAATGAACTGTCGTAAGCCGAGGACTGCCCGTGGGCCAGTTTCCAGCCCAGGAGACGAGAGACGAGAGGCTGAACGCCCTTTGCGGGCTCAGCCGGGTCCTTCTCACCACATGGTAGTGCCCGTCGGCATCTGTGCAGCCACACTGGTCAAGAGGGACACACTGGTCTCCGCTGAGGACGAAGCCCTGGTCACACACGCAGCCCTCCACGCAGGGCAGAGCAGGGCAGCTGTCCCTGGGTGCTGCATCCGTGCAGGTGGCCGGGCAGGCTGGACCACAGGAGCTGTAGGAGCTCCCGGGAGGACAGCTTAGGGCTGGGGAGGGAGAAATAGAAAGAGAGAGAGAGGGAGGGAGAGAGAAAGAGAGAGGGAGAGGGAGAGAGAAAGAGAAAAAGAGAGGAAGAGAGAAAGGGAGAGAGAGAGAAAGAGAGGGAGAGAAGAAGAGAGGAAGAGAAAGCAAGAGATAAAGAAAGAGAAAGAGGAGAGAAAAGGAGGGAGAGAAAGTGGGAGAGAGAAAGAGAGAAAGAGAGGAAGAGAGAAAAAGAAAACGACAGAGGGAGGGAGAGAAAAGAGAGAGCGCTTTAGAACCCATTCTTCATCCAGGATTGTTTCAGCAAAAGATGGTAATCCCCGATTCATCTTCCATTCGTCCTGCAACATGAGGCTTTTTGCTCACTGTACCTACAAGGCGGAACTCTTTAATTAAAGGCACAAAAGCCCTTAAAGTCTTTGCTACCGTTTGGCCTTCCCACTCCAAGCAGGCAGATGCTATTGTCGGTTCTGCTGGTGCAAATAGATAAACACAACCCACAATAAACCAGGAAAGAAGAAGGAAGAGCAATACAGAGGTTACTCCGTTCAATCCCTGGACAACGTCACTGTTTGGATTTCTTGCGGAAATTAGCAAAGGAAACTAATTGGTTCCACCGAAAAGATTTCGTGTAAAATTTACACACTTGAATTTTCTCATTTGTGGGCAGCGTTTGGAAAATGCACAATTCTCTCTGAATCCATGTTCTCTCTGGTCCAAATTCAGCACCTAAACCAGGAATCTTCAAACTTGGCCATTTTAAGACTTGTGGACTTCAACTCCCAGAATTCCTCAGCCAGCCCCTTTCTTGGAGAAGGGAGTTGGGACAGGGGAGGACGTGGAATAGGGCAGGGGCCTTCAACCTTGGCAATTTTAAGACTGGTGGACTTCCAACTCCCAGAATTCCCTAGCCAGCATAAACATTGTGGCCCTGCTTACTCTCTTATAATCCCTTTCTCTCCAATCTCTCCGCTTTAAGGGATAGGTGAAAAAAAAATGGCTGGCTGAGGAATTCTGGAAGTTGAAGTCGACAAGTCTTAAAGGAGCCAAGTTTGAAGACCCCTGACCTAAATTGACCCCTGTGTGTTTATCTTTTATTGCTACTTCCTGCATCCGTTATCTGCAAGCTGCCCCAGGAATCCCACCACAGGCCAGTCTTTCAACACGGGGAATATATTTACGGCAGAAAGTGCTGTTTCTCCAGACGATGGTGACCCCGGCTTGGGCACAGCGGTCGGCATAGGCCTGTAGGGCAAAGCACAGCATCCCTGCATCTCCATCGGTTTCACACAGGTCGTAGAAGCAGTTCTCAAATGCCCCCTCGGGGGCCACCTTGCCATGGCACGGAGCGAACGGACCTATGGGGAAAAAAGCAAGCTGGGTTCACAATCAACCCCCAGGGATGGATGGAGACCCACAAGCTCCTAGACAACCAGACGTTTGGGTTTCCAAAGGGACTAGGAACTTGAAAATAGGAATTGGGTAGGTCTAATATAATGAAAAGGAGGGCTAGAATAGAATAGAATAGAATAGAACAGAATTAGATTAGAATAGAAGAGAAGAGAATATGGGATGGAATGGAATATGAGATGGAAGAATAGAATAGAATAGAATAGAATAGAATAGAATAGAATAGAATAGAATAGAATAGAATAGAATAGAATAGAATAGAATAGAATAGAATAGAATAATAAAATATAGAATAGAAAATAGAATAGAATAATAATGATAGAATAGAATAGAATAATAAAATATAGAATAGAATAGAATTAATAGAATAGAATAGAATAATAATGATATAATAGAATTAGAATAGAATAATAAAATACAGAATAGAATAGAATAATAATGATATAATAGAATTAGAATAGAATAGAATAATAAAATATAGAATAGAATAAAATAGAATAATAATATAGAATAGAATTAGAATAGAATAGAATATGGGATGGAATAGAATATGGGATGGAATGGAATATGGGATGGAAGAATAGAATAGAATAGAATAGAATAGAATAGAATAATAAAATATAGAATAGAAAATAGAATAGAATAATAATGATAGAATAGAATAGAATAGAATAGAATAATAAAATATAGAATAGAATAGAATTAATAGAATAGAATAGAATAGAATAATAATGATATAATAGAATAGAATAATAAAATATAAAATAGAATAGAATAGAATAATAATGATATAATAGAATTAGAATAGAATAGAATAATAAAATATAGAATAGAATAAAATAGAATAATAATATAGAATAGAATTAGAATAGAATAGAATATGGGATGGAATAGAATATGGGATGGAATGGAATATGGGATGGAAGAATAGAATAGAATAGAATAGAAATAGAATAGAAATAGAATAGAATAGAATAGAATAGAATAGATGCTGGAAGGGACCTTGGAGGTCTTCTAGTCCAGCCCTCGCTAGAGCAGGAGAACCTCCACAGTCCCTTCCAGTTCAGTTATGCTGTTATTCTGTAACTCCCCTCCTAAAAAGTCCCAGAGAGCCCCAATCTCACCTTTGGGATCTGTAAGAATCCCACAGCTGGTGGGTCCCTGAGCTTCGGCTGCAATGTCTGGATTGCATTCTTCAGGATCTTTTGAGTCGGTGCAGCTGCAAATGAACACCGTAAAAGTCACCAAAAGGGCAGCCTTCTTCAACACGGGTGTCCTCCAGATGTGCTGGATGACACCTCCCATGACCAGGCTGGGGGGAAGGGAGGGAGGAAGGAAGCTGGGATCCAACCATTGGGCAGTTTCTCCAGCCCTTGCTTGATCTAAGCCTCCCCACTCAAAAGTGTTTGCTTCAGTTAGAACTTTCATAATGGAGGTTTCAGGGACCTCCTTGTTTTTGATGATGTTTTTCAAACTTGGCAACTTTTAAGATGGTTGGACTTCAACTCCCAGGATTCCCTGGCCAGCCCTTAAAAGTTGCCAAGTTTGAACAACGCTGCTTTAGATCAGGGGTCTCCAAACGTGCAACTTTTAGACTTGTGCTTACTCTCTTATAATCCCTTCCTCTCCAATCTCTCCACTTTAAGGGATAGGTGAAAAAAAAACCCAGGCACGGCTGGCTGGGGAATTCTGGGAGTTGAAGTCCACAAGTCTTAAAAAGTTGCCAATTTTGCAAGACCCCTGTTTTAGACAATGGGGGGGTTTTAAGGGAGAAAAAAAACATTGTGCTCATGGTTGCCCTCTTTCAAATCTTGACATTAAATTATGTAAAAACATTTTTTAGGAATCTCAGCTGGCCCAGTTCAGAAATGATTAGGGGGAAAGTCTCCTATCCGAAATTTCTTGCTGAGGAAGATTCCAGGTTTTCAGACTGGGGGGGGGGGTGTAAGACTCACCTGGCATCACCAATATTGGGCACCAGCCAGCTCTTCCCCAGCTGGTTGTCATCGGTCCCCGCGGAGGTACCATTGGGCATAAGATTGTCATCCCCGGCTTGTCCGTTAAAGTTGCCTGAAAAAGGAGGAGGGAAGGGTTGGGAGGAGGCACTCATGTTTCACACATGTACAAAGAGAGTCCTTGGGTTACAACCACAATTGAGCTCAAAATTTTTGTCGTTAAGGGAGACATTCATATGAAGCAGTGGCCAAGCATCTGGATTTTAATTACATGATTGTGGGGGTGCTACAAAGATCGTAAGTGTGAAAAATGGCCATGTCATTTTTTTTCCAGGATAGTTCTGGGATCACTAGAGCAGGGGTCCCCAATCCCTGATCCGTGGACTGGCACCGGACCGTGGCATGCCAGCAACCGGGCCGCACAAACAAGCAAAGCCTCATCCGCGGGATGCAGGCAGCACACAAAACCATGCGCCCTCCGGTCCGTGGGAAAACCTCTCTCCACGTAACCGGTCCCTGGTGCCCAAAAGGTTGGGGACCTCTGCCCGACTGTCTTCCCAGCCCGGGGAGAAAGTGACCAGTCTGACTCCTTACCACAAAGGCCGCACAGCTTCCCAAAATAGGACGACGGGACGGAGACCTCCGCGTGGTGGTTCCCATCAAATCTCACCGAGAGGCCGAAATCCGTTTGGACCCGAACGAAAGTGCCACTCAGGCGTACGGACACTTGACCCCCGACCACGGAGACAGGCAAGGTAACTCGCTTTCCGTCCACCTGTAGGGTAGAGAGCCAAGAGCAGGAGAGGGGGGGGCTCCTCTCCCACTAATGTTTCCAGTAACAAGGAGTGTCCCTGCAGGAAGGGGGATCAGGAGTACTCACAGTGACCCTCCGCGCCTTCAGCAGCACAATCTGGGTCCCGTACACAGTTACGTTGACCGACTTGAGGTAGGAAACCTTGGTGTTGCTCCCGCGATGTTCATTGGTTGTCTGGATCTGGAAGGTGGGCTGATCAGGAGTGGCATTGCAGGTGGCAGTGAGCAGGTAGGTGCAATTCCCCATGAAATGGAAGAGACGACCGTCGTACGTCGTATAGTGGGGATCTCCAGAAACTACGCAGGGTGCAGAATCTTGGGGAGAAAACAGAGGGTGAAGTTTGGGAGAGAAAGTGGGGTTAGCCACCTCCCCCCTCCCCGACGTGGGCAGTGGACACATGAAAAGCTGTTTGCTCCCACAGATTAACCACAGCGGTATGTTTCTTATGTTCCTGAACATGGGCAGAGTGATTTTCTTCGTGAGGTGCCTACAGTCAACACTGGGGTTTTTTTCTGCTCCCCATTTTGATTCCCACAGCTATAAATATTTGCCCCTCAAATATCTCAAGGGAGATATTTGGGACTTATCAGTACTTGGAAAACAAAAAGAGGTTAAAAAAAGCCGAAAGGTATTCTCTACGACAATAAAAACCAGGTTGGTTCCGAAATCGGTAAAATGAAGACCCAGATTGTTGGGGGCAAATAATGCTGACTCTGTAAGCCCCTTAGAGAGGGCTGTAAAGCACTGAAGCGGTATATAAGTCTTAAGTGCTATTGCTATTGTTGTGATGCCAGGGGTCTTTGCTGAATTTCTCTTTTTTCCTGGTGTAACAGTGAACAACATTTCTTTCGTCAGAAAAACAAGATTTTGCTCTTACTTCTTGTATGAATCGTCAAGGGCTCCTGATTTTCTTTTGTTATCTTTTGTTATTCTGTTATTATTATTATTATTATTTTTAAAATTTATAAGCCGCCCCACTCCCGAAGGACTCTGGGCGGCTAACAATAAAAAACACATAAAACATAACAAACAACAATACAAAAACAATCATCCAGGGGTCAGGTTTTATAAACCCCAGGCCTGCCGGAAAAGCCAGGTCTTAAGTAGCTTACGGAAGACCAACAGGGTGGGAGCGGTCCTAATCTCCGGGGGGAGCTGATTCCAAAGCGTGGGCGCCATCACAGAGAAGGCCCTCCTCCGCGGTCCCGCCAAATGGCACTGCTTGGCTGACGGGGCCCGAAGGAGGCCCAGCCTGTGGGATCTAACCGGACGTAGGGAACTATGAGGTAGTAGGCGGTCTCGCAAATAGCCTGGCCCTCAGCCATATATGGCTTTAAAGGTAATGACCAACACCTTGAATTGGACCCAGAGACCAATAGGCAACCAGTGCAGCTCACGGAGGATAGGTGTAACGTGGGTGTATCGAGGAGCACCCACTATCACTCGCGCGGCTGCATTCTGGACCAACTGTAGTCTCCGAATACTTTTCAAGGGTAGCCCCATGTAGAGCGCGTTGCAGTAGTTCCTACTGTCATTGTTAAATAGATCTGTTATTTTTTACAACTGGAATTTTCACCTTACCTAACGTTCATGTCTGAAGTAATGACCGAAACAGTGAGACCTACTAGATTACAAGCTCTCCAAAGTACCAACCTGGAAGCTGTTCAGGAGTTGCCTGGTCCACGCTTGGTTCCTCTGGTGTAGGTTTGGGGGTATTAACAGGGTCCGTCAGCAGGGGCTGCGTGATGGTGGGACCAGAGGGCTGGGGACTTGGAGTAGAACTAGGTGGCCTGTCTGGTCTGGAGGTGCCAGTGGGAGGTTGCAATGAGGTTGTCAATTTGGTTGTTCCACTGGGGACAGTGATGTTGGGAAGGACAACTTTGGTGGGAGTAACTGGAGTGCTGCTCAGAGGTTCGTTCCTGGTGGGCACAGGAGTAACGAGTGGGGGGTGGCTGGGGGGACTTTTAGAAGTGGTAGAGCTGGTCAAGGTAGATCTGGGTCCGGAGGTCCCAGCGGGAGGTTGCAGTGACGTTGTCAGTTTGGGAGTAGAGGCTGCTCCACTGGGGACGGTGATGTTGGGAAGGGTAGCTGTGGTGGTGTGAATGGAAGGAACTGGGGTGGTGCTCTGAGTCCCTTGAGTGGTGGAACTCTTAGAAGTGGTAGAGCTGGAAGTTGATGGCTGGCTTGGCTTGGAGGTCCCACTGGTGGGTTGCAACGATGTTGTCAGTTTAGGAGTAGAGGCTGCCCCAGGGTGAATGGTGATGTCTGGAAGGGCAGCTTTGGTGGTGCTGGTGGGAGGAACTGGAGTGGTGCTCAGACTTTCATTCCTGGTAGGGACAGGAATATCCTGGCCGGTGGAACACTTAGTAGTAGTAGAGCTGGCCAGGGTAGAGCTGGAAGTTGGTGGCTGGCTTGGCCTGGAGGTCCCACTGGTTGGTTGCAACGATGTTGTCAGTTTGGGAGTAGAGCTTGTTCCACTGGGTGGGGTGATGTTGGGAAGGACAGTTTTGGTGGTGCTGACGGGAGGAACCGGAGTGGTGCTCGGAGCCCCTTGACTGGTGGAACTCTTAGAAGTGGTGGAACCAGTCAGGGGGTAGCTGGGGGAAGATGGCTTGTTTGGTTTGGAGGTCCCAGTGGCCGGTGGCAATGAAGTTGTCAATTTGGGAGTAGAGTTTGTTCCGGCGGGAATGGTGATGTTGGGAGGGCTACCTGTGGTGGTAGTGATCGGAGGAACAGGAGTGCTGGTCAGACTTTCATTCTTGCTGGGGACAGGAGTAACCTGGCTGGGGGAACTCTTAGAAGTGGTTGAACTGGGGGAAGGTGGCCTGCTTGGTCTGGAGGTCCCAGTGCTCGGTTGCAATGACGTCAGTTTGGGAGTAGAGGCTGCTCCACTGGGTAGGGTGATGTTGGGAAGGACATCCTTGGTGGTGGTGATGGGAGGAACCAGGGTGGTGGTCAGTGTCCCTTGGGCGGTAGAATGATTAGAAGTAGTAGAACTGGGGGAAGATGGTCTGCTTGGTCTGGGGATCCCAGTGGTCGGTTGCAATGACGACGTTGTCAGTTTGGGAGTAGAGGCTGCTCCACTGGGTAGGGTGATGTTGGGAAGGACAACCTCGGTGGTGGTGATGGGAGGAACTGGCGTGGTGGCCACACTTGCATTCCTGGTGGGCACAGGGGTGCTTGTAGTTACAGCAACTGGCCTGGTGGACGGGGCAGTGGAGCTGAGTGTTGCTGGGTGGGGCTGGGTCCCTGTGCTTTTTGTGGCAGTGGGTGCACTGGGTGTTGTAGGCTGGGAGATGGTAGAGTGTTCAGGTGGTACAGTCACCGCTGGTCCCTCAGCAGTTGGTGGAGCTGTCGAGTTGGTGCTTGGAGGCGCAGGAGTGGCTGGGTGCCCTGGAAAGAACAATTCTGAAATTAGAACCATCAGGGACAAGCCTCTTGGCGCCCCTACGAGGGGTACCTGTGGTCTTGTGTTCTTGGTTGCCAATAAACTGCACCTGTGGTCTTGTGTTCTTGGAGTCCCTATGAGAGCCTGTACCCCTCATAGGGACTCCAAGAGGTGTCGATCTACTCTGGGTTTCTTCTCCATTTTGTTCCTTTTTGTTGCAAACTTCTTGCGTGTCCTTTTTAAGGAAGCTTACCGTACACCATGTAATCGAAACCAGCGTCTCCCCTCTGCACAAAAGCACAGGGTGGACTGTTACACCTTGGCCTTTGTGTGCCCCATCTACCCACCCGGAGAGAAAACAGACAATACTGCCCACATCGTCTGCAGCCTATACCTTCATACCTATCTGTCTAGGTGTGCCAATCTCGCTTAGACTGCCTCACCTGCACACAGGCCCTTGTGCACCGAAATGTTATCCAACGACACGTCCAAGTAGGCGTTCCTTCCTCTGACAACCTCAAAAGTGATCTGGATTTGAGGAAAAGAGTCAATCATGGGGGTGTCCTTGGTGTTCTCTGAGCTGGGCTGTTTTCTTGCAGGCATTTCATTACCCAGACTAACTAGCCCTGACAATGTGACCCAGTTTGGATAATGAAGCAAACGACAAAGATCAGAGACCACCCTCATTTCAACACTGAGCTACAAATGTTCTCCTTTATTGGCAGTCAGTCACGGTTCATCTTACCCGAAAGTTGGGACTGCCGCAGATACGCAGACGTCTGTTCCGGCCTATCCCCCCCCCCCCACCAAGGCTTGCATCCCAAAACTTGTAAATGTGTGTGGTTGCCAATAAACTGCACCTGTGGTCTTGTGTTCTTGGGGCCCATCTGCCTCCTCTTCCACTAACCTTGCTTGGCTGTGCTCCGCCATACGGCAATCTCGCAGATCCATAGAGCCAGCTGGGACCCTGAGACCCTGTACGGTTCCAGAGGAGAACGGTGCTTCCCGAAGGTTCCTCCAGCAGGACCCGGAGCTGGGTCTCAACTTCCACAATGCTGTGCATGTGGTAGTAGAATTCAACGCAGGACTCCTGATTCATGCAGAACGATGGGCTGGAGAAACGCGTAGACTCATTCGGCTTCAGGTGGCCACCTTCTACGTAGATGTAGTAGCCTTCTAGAAAAAGGGGAGGGAGACCCACCAGGTCATCCACGGTCGTTGTATCAACCCTGACAGGAAAAGGCATCAGAGGAAGGAGATCGGGCCACGCAATATTGCCAGGGGTCCTTGGTGCGCTCGGAGTTTGGTTGTTTTTCTTGCAGACATTTCATGAAACGTCTGCAAGAAAACCACCCAGCTCAAAGAGCACCAAGGACCCCACAGTCGTCCTCCTCCTCCTTCTCTTCCTCCTCCTCCTTCCACAAACCCCCCTCCCTTCTAGCACAGCTGATGTTACTCAGTTTGGGTCATGAAATGTCTGCAAGAAAACAAGCAAGCTCAGAGAGCACCAAGGACCCCACAGTCCTCCTCCTCTACTTCCTCTTCCTCCTCCTCCTCCTCCTCCTCTCCTCAAACCCCCCTCCCTTCTAGCACTGCTGATGTTACCCAGTTTGGGTCATGAAATGCCTGCAAGAAAACAAACAAGCTCAGAGAGCACCAAGGACCTCTCATTTCAACCTTGAGCTGCAAATATTTTCCTTTGTTGGTACACAATACTGTGCCAAGTTTGAAGACCCCTGCCCAATTCCAAAGGGGTGGAGGAGATGAAATCGCCTTCTTGGGATGATCTCAGGCGTGTCTCCCCCTTCTTACCACCATGGGGGAAATCTCCAGGGGGGCCAGTGTCTTCAGTTGGGGTGCTCTGGTTTGTTCGTCTCCAGGTCTCATTCACAGACGCGCTCCAGCCACAGAAGGGGTCCATGTTGTTGTTGAAATCACAGCTGGCGAAAATATCTATGGGGCAGGGAAGCCAGCCAGGCAGAGTCAGCTGGGGTGGGCAGCAACCCCTGGCTGCTCTTCAACCCCACTCCCCCCACACCATTTGCCCACAGGGTCAGGGTTAGGCTACCTTCACAGGGAGAAATTGCCACATTGTCCACTGCCAGGCTGGGTTCCCCTGCATACACGCCTTCGAAGACAAACTAGAAGTGGAAAACCATGAGTGACCACCAGCTGTGAAGGATGCCCACGTGCTGCTACTCAGCTGTGTGTAGCATTGCAGGCAAGAGTTATTTTAATTCCCCTCTCTGAAATTGGACCTTCTGTGTTAACATCACTTGTCTGAGATGGTATAGGTTCTCCTGCTTGAGCAGGGGGCTGGACTAGAAGACCTCCAAGGTCCCTTCCATCTTCTATTCTATTCTATTCTATTCTATTCTATTCTATTCTATTCTATTCTATTCTATTCCTTATTCTATTCTATTCTATTCTGTTCTGTTCTGTTCTGTTCTGTTCTGTTCTATTCTATTCTATTCTATTCTATTCTATTCTATTCTATTCTATTCTATTCTGTTTTTATTCTAATTATAATTCTATTCCATTCCATATTTTCTTTTCTTCTCTTTTCTTCTCTTTTCTTCTCTTCTCTTCTCTTCTCTTCTCTTCCCTTCCCTTCCCTTCTCTCTTCTCTTCTCTTCTCTTCTCTTCTCTTCTCTTCTCTTCTCTTCTCTTCTCTTCTCTTCTCTTCTCTTCTCCTCTCCTCTCCTCTCCTCTCCTCTCCTCTTCTCTCCATTCCATTCCATTCCATTCCATTCCATTCATTGCCACACTGGTGGTAAAATCCCTCGACTGTTCATGCTCTGCAACGGGGACTCTCAACCCTAATCAGTTCAGCCTAGGTATGTGACAAGTACTCCACCAGTTGTGTAAAGCCAGACTACCAGGCAGTAAGCAGCTGTGTGGTTGGCAGGCTCTCTGCCAGCTGATCTAGACACGCTTGACTAAATACGAGTTGAGATCACACAGTAGTCATTAGGTGCCTTGGATTCTAGGGCAGGGGTCTCCAAACGTGGCCACTTAGAGGGGTGGACTTCAATACTCAGAATTTCCTGGCACTAATGCTTTGGATATCTATACCCATTGTGGCCTACTGATCCTCTTGTAATCCCTTTCTCTGCAATCTCCCTGATCTAGGGGGGTAGGAGAAACAAACGCAGCCATGGATGGCTGGGTAATTCTGGGAATTGAAGTCCACAAATCTTAAAGTTGCTGAGTTTGGAGACACTTGTTCTGGGCATGCAGAGGTGGGCACTCTCAACAGGAGAGATGTTCCAGATTGGAAGTCTGTGTGGTGGAATGTAGTCTGGATTCCCAGGAGGGAGAGGCTGCACTCCAAAGGTGAAAGAGGAAGCACAGTTTGTGTGGGAGAAAGAGGGTGAAGACAGTTCCTCCCTATTACCTCCCAGAGTATATATTTTACATGAAAATAGTCTGCTTCAGTTTGGCAAGATTCTGTCAATAACAATAAAGAAAACTCTGTGTGTCATTTTTGGTTTTTCGAGCCTGGCAATCTGTCACGTGAGTAGAGGTAGTCCTTGACCATTTTGTTTAGTGACCATTTGAAGCTGTAACAGCACTGAAACTTACGACTGTTTTTCACACTTACGGCTGTAACAGCATCCCCAGGGTCACGTGACCCAAAATTCAGAAGCGTGTGTTTATGACGGTTGCCGTGTCCCAGGGCCACGTGACCCCTTTTTGCTTTGCGAACTCAACGGGGGAAGGTAGGTCCACTTAACAACTCTATTACCAACTTAACAGCTGCAGTGATTCACTTAATAACTGTGTCAAGAAAGGTCACAAAATGGGGGGCAAACTCATTTAACACCTGTCTCATTTTGCAATGGAAATTTTGGGCAACCCCCCCCCCCCGTTGACCACCTTACCTGTATGTCCCCCTTCCCGGTATAATTAGCAAAACTCCCCCTCCAGTCGGGACCATGCTCCCCTCTGAGAGTCAGCAGCGGGACCCCCAGGTCTCCCCCTATTTATAGGAAACACATAAATGAAGTTTACTCCAGGGTGTGCCTGCTCGGAGGCTCTTTGGGAGGGGAGGGGGGCGTCCCTTTCAGAAAGCCCAGGAACTTGCCTGGGGGAGCCGCGTAGATCTTCAGGGCTGTATCGTTGGAGACGCCATGGAGAGTGTAGCGGAACGTCAGGCGCAGGCACCCTCCCGAGGAATTGAACGTGGGGCTCTTCAGAAAACCACTTCCTCGGGTTGCCTCATCAAAAGAATCCAGCAACATGAAGGAACCAACTAGGGCGAGAGTTGAAAGGGTCTGAGTTGGCTTTGGGACAAGAGCCGGCGTGGGGGGAAGAGCAAGTTTGAAAAGGCTGAGAGCGTGCTAGGCAGCCTGGGCAATAAAAACCTCTGGTGCCCATCACGAGACAACAGGAGAGGTGTACAGCTCATAGTCCACGCTCTCCTCAACAGCAGCTCAGTCCCGGTGAGTCAAGATTCAAGAATTTCAGTGAAACTCCACCTTGACAGCCTCACCCATAAGGTACTTTACCCCCAGTTCTTGGGTTCAAGCTCCCCGATGGCGGTGTGGGTGATTCCAGCTTCCTTGATGGCGCTACGCACGGAGAGGTGGACACCATCAACTGGTAGGACATTTCCCGCTGGATCCAACTAGGAATCCGGGTTTCATGATCTTAACCCTTGTCCACCAGCACTTGCACAGCCTCTGCTTAACAACTTTAACACTGATTCCCAGCGGAAAGCCAAATGGGCTGCTGAATGCTCAAGACACAGGAAGACGCAGAGATGACCCCACAAAAACAAGGCGCCAGGGTTGAACAACCACGTCAGCAATGGACAACCCTGAATAGGATTCACTCCTCACACGGCGTCTGCCAGAATTCCCTGTATAAATGGGGTGCAGCATCCTCCCCTCGGGGGGACTGTGGGTCCCAGGTCAAACTACGGGTCACATTGTACCAGCTGTAAGCCGAAGGCATCTCCCTTTCTGGTATCTGATTTCTTTCATATGAACGGTGCTCATCTTAAGTGGTTAGATGGCCTTGCCCCACACATATTCACCTCCAGGCCGAGAGAAGTCATCCGATGGCCCCACACCAGGCATGTTCGTGGGGCCACTCCACTGTCCCCAAGCCACATCTCCCTCTTCTGGGTTGCTCCATCCACAGAGGTCAGTTGGATTATCAAAATCGCATTTGGTCACACAGGCTGTAGGAGAAGGAGGGGGGAATTAATGAGACCCCCCCATACAGCAAGACCCTTCTTCCCCAAAGCAGTGTTTCTCAACCTTGGCGACTTTAAGGTGGGTGGACTTCAACTCCCAGAATTCCACAGCCTGAATTCTACCCCGTCGAGCGGAAAGATTGCAGAGGAAGGGATTACAAGAGAGTAAGCAGGCCACAATGGGTATATATATCAAAAGGAATGTATTACTGCCAGGGAATTCTGGGAGTTGAAGTGTACCCATCTTAAACTTGCCAAGGCTGAGAAACACGACCCTGAAGTGTGAATGTGGTGAGGGTTTGTGAGAAATTTACTTACGTGAACAAGGTCCCAGCTGGATGAAGATGGAGTCCACAGCCAGTGTAATTTCATTTGTGCTGATCTGTTTGGCTCTGAAAACAACCTGAATAGAAAGACAGATCAGGGTTTGTTTCTGCTCTCTAAATAGGGCATTTACAAAACCCAAGAGTTATGTTGATTGCTTTATGAAACACAGATCGGACAAAGGCAAATGCTTACGGTGTAAAAGATCCACTTGGTGAGAGCTTAGGGTGGGCCAACTATGAGATATAACCAAGATACCATTGAGGGGCTGGACTAGAAGACCTTCAAGATCCCTTTCAAATCTGTTATGCTGTCATTCTGTTATATATTTGGGTTTGGGAGTGTCGGTTGTCCTCCTGTCCTCTTGCTTCTCTTTATGTTTCCTTGTTTTTAAGACGGGTTTCTGTTTGTTTTTAACTGTCTAGTTTTTGTTGAATGCTGCCCGGAGTCACTTTGATGAGATGGGCAGCTATATTGAATTGTTAGATAAAATAAAATAATAATAATAATAAAATAAAATAAAATAAAATAATAAAATAAAATAAAACAACAAATTAAATAAAAAGTAAAATAATAAAAAATAAAATAAAAAAAATAAAAAATAAAAATAAAACAATAACAAATAAAATAAAAAGTAAAATAATAAATAATAAAATAATAAATAATAAAATAAAATAATAAAATAAGAAGTAAAAAAATAAAAAATAAAATAAAATAAAACAATAAAATGTAAAATAAAACAATAACAAATAAAATAAAACAAAACAATACAATGTAAAATAAAACAATAAAAAATAAAATAAAAAGTAAACAAAACAAAACAAAATATAAAACAAAACAAAACAAAATGCAAACTAAGAATGCCGTGTCTGAATTGCAAAGAGGCTGAAAGAAAACCCTTTAAGTCTCCTTCGCGGGAGGCACCCTGGAGAAGGCAGCAGGACCTGCGTATAAATAATCCTCAACTTACGACCGATCGCTTAGTGACCGTTCGAAGTTACGACTCACTCCCTCCAAAAGGGACTTACGACCTGGTTACGAAGTTCTGACCTGGCCCCCACCCCTCGTGGGTCACGTGGCTGCCTTTTGGGATGCTTGGAAACCCGCCCGCATCTACAGCTGTTTGCAGTCACCTGACCCCGGTTTCCATTTTGGCTGGAAAACGGGGCTGGCTTCCAGATCCCCACAAAACAGCCAGACAATAGCAGGAAGAGGGTTTGCTTAACAACCAGGGTGTTCGCTTTACGACTGCCGCGCTCGCTTTACGCCATGCAAAAAATTGTAATGACCCCGGCCATGTGGTGACTTGCTTTACGACCACCGCGACATATGACCGCCACCGCCAGGCTCGATGACGGTCAGAAGTTGAGGACTCCTTGTGCCCCCCCCCTTTCCCCGCCACTTGCCTTGAAGGGGCGCTGAGCCTGGGCAGGAACCGTCACGGCCCCGCTCAGCCAGGACGCGCTCTGCATTCCCCTCCGGGTCCACAAGGGGGCGACGCTGCCCGAGGCGTCCCGGATCTCGACGCTCAGCTGGCCCTCCATGCTGAGGCTGTACAAATAATACAGGAAGCGCACGCAGACCTCCGCCCCGGCCAGGTCCACCTCTGGGCTTTCCAGTTGTGCGAACGGCCCAGCAGCTGGATAGATGTAATAGTCTCCTGGAAAGGGAGAAGCCCTGGACTTTTTAGGGGGGGGGGCGACCAGGCCTCGCCAGCTGCACCCCGAAGGGCAGAGCTCTGCGGGAGGGTCACTTGGCTTGCTGCAGACCGTGGGGAAGCTCAGCCAGGAGAAGCCGGGCCCCCCCGGATGAAGGCAGCAGCAGCAGCAGGGAGACACCCTGGCACGGGATCCAGGGGCAGCCCCTGCCAACCCGAGGGGCGCCTGCCCATCTTAGGGCCTCTCGGAGGTGCTGGCCCGAGAGGGGCCTAGCAGAGCCTCCGCGGAAGAGACTGGGGGTCACCGTGAAGCTCTTACTCCGTGCGATGTCTCCCTCGGGGGGTCCAGGGCTCTCCCCGGGCCTCTGCCCACGCTCTCGGAGCCACTGGCTGTCGGGGGGCGCGCTCCAGTCGCAGAAGGGGCGGTCGGCGTTGTCAAAGTCGCAGTAGTCTGAGGGGAAGGGGGAGCAAAGGGTCAGCCCCTCCGGCCACCGGGACGTAGCCCGCCAGGCGCGAGAGAGGCTGGGTTTCCCAGCTCCGGGAAGGCACCGGCTTGGCACTGCAGGGCCACCCCCTGCGTGGGGAGGGAGGAAGGGGCTTGGCGCTGTGGGACCTTCTCCTTGGCCCCTCTGCCCCCAAAGGTCCCGGGGCCTGCTGGGCAGCTGCACAGAAGATGCTCCTTGCTCCCTCTGGGCCAGAGGCAGGCCAGAGGTCAGGTTGACCAGCCAGGGAAGGGAGGGAGGGAAACACTACTCACAGTCCGTGCTCAGGGCCTTCTGTGGGGTCTCCACACCTGGGGCTGAGTGTGCCCTGAAAGGGAGAGGCAGGGAGGGTTAACTTCTGCACGGAGGCAAAATAGAAGGCAGAGCCCCCTGCCCCACGCCCATCTCCCCTCCACTTTACTGCAGCAGGAGGGACAATGGGACAGGCTACCACCCAGAGATCCCCCCGAGGAGCTGCCTTTCATTTTAACCTGCTTTGGCTCGGCCGGCCTTGCCCAGCCCTGGGGAGGGCTAAAAGGCCGCTCCTAACAGCAGCAGGAACACAGATCTCTGCCTTCAAATCCAATTCAGCCCCTTCCAGTCCTCGCTTCTGTGCAGAAAATATCCTAGAATCCCAGAATCAAAGGGCTGGGAGGGTCCCGGCAGGTCATCTAGTCTAACCCCTTGCTCAAGGCAGGAGAGACCTTGTTCCATCCCAGTCAAATGGTTGTCCAGTCTTATCGCTTCTGGATTTTACGATGAAAAAAAAATGTGAAATTTTGATTTTGCTGATTGATGGGTTTGCTGTTATAGAAACGACTAGTGTTTATTATTGTGCAGAAATAAAGAAGTCGAGGCTAGTCTGCCTTCTACTGTGCTTGAAAGAGTCGGAATTCTGCACTTTTTTTTCTTTTTTCCCTTCTACCCGATACTTTTTCCTTTTCCCCCTCTCCCCCGCTGGTTTCCCATTATTTTCATTTTTCAAAAATTATTTTCTATTCTGCCAAACTAATAAACAAAAATTGTAATGTAGGAAATTTCTTCTTACTTCTAGGTTGGATTTCTCTTCGACAAACCTCACCCATTATATTTCTTGCTTTGCCCTTTGGAGAGTAGCACGATCCTCTCTTCTTTATGACAACCCCTCAAACACTGCCCCCCCCCCGTATTCCTTCTCTTCAATAAGACATATCTTACTTCTTCAGCTGTTCGTCATATAGAATAGAATAGAATAGAATAATAAAATACAGAATAGAATAAAATAGAATAGAATAATAAAATACAGAATAGAATAAAATAGAATAGAATAATAAAATACAGAATAGAATAGAATAGAATAATAAAATATAGAATAGAATAGAAATAGAATAGAACAGAACAGAAATACAACACAATAGGAACAGAATATAGAATAGAATAGAATACAGAATAGAATAGCAGTTAGCAGTTAGCAGTTAGAGGGCAGTACTGCAGGCCACTTTAGCTGACTGTGTTCAGCAGGTCAGCAGTTCAAATCTCACCGGCTCAAGGTTGACTCAGCCTTCCATCCTTCCGGGGTAGGTAAAATGAGGACCCAGATTGTTGGGGGCAATGTAAATATATATATACATTGCTTACTGGTATACACCGCTTAGAGAGTGCTTGCACTTAAAGCGGTATATAAGTCTCATCAATAAATAAATAAAATAAATAACAGAATAGAATATAGAATAGAATACAATAGAAAAAAGAATAGAATAGAAATACATCAGAATAGGAACAGAATATAGAATAGAATAGAAAAGAATAGAATAGAATAGAATAACAAAATACAGGAATAGAATAGAATAGAATAGAATAGAATAGAATAGAATAGAATAGAATAGAATAGAAATACAACAGAATACAGAATAGAATAGAAAAGAATAGAATAATAAAATACAGAAATAGAATAGATATACAACAGAATAGGAACAGAATATAGAATAGAATAGGAATAGAATAGAATAATAAAATACAGAAATAGAATAGAATAGAATAGAATAGAACAGAACAGAAAGCTGGAAGGTCTTCATTGTCAAAATCCTTCCTAATAGAAGAGACCTTGGAGGTCATGTAGTCCACCCCTCTGTTCAAGCAGGAGACCCTATCCTATACCATTTCAGACAAATGGCTGTCCACTCTCTTCTTAAAAACCTCCCGTGTTGAATCACCCACAACTTCTGAGGGCAAGCCGTTTTATTGATTAATTCTCCATCCCTGTCCTAAGGAAATTTGTCCTAAGTTCTAGGACGGTTCTCTCCTTGGTTAGTCTCCATTCGTTGCTTATATGGTTTCGCTTCGAAACCGTTCATTATCTTTGCGGCTCTGCCTGGAACCGAGGGACGTTGCCTAGAGATGGATCCATCCCTTGGTTTAATCATCTAAGCGCTGCGGCTTACCTGGCGGGTCCGGTCGCCAGGAGGCCCTCCAGGGTCAGGAGCAGCAGCACCAGGCCAGCCTTCTCGCAGCCCATTCTGGGAAGCGGTTGGAGCTAAGAGCGAGAGGATCTCCCGTTCCGCTTAATATAGTTGGGCTCGGATCCCCACCCACCCTCCGTGGGCAGAGGGCAAAAGGCTGTTAACCCAAGTGTCTGCCTTGTCGAACCTTGTACTTTCCCCTTCACCACTGGGGCTTGACGTGCTGATGTCTCATGGGGTGAGGCCCCGGGCAAAGATCCAAAGAAGGGGGGGCAAATCGGCAGGCAGAAGATTTGGGGAGCAATGGAGCACCCAACAGCCAACCTGGAAGAGCGTCAGCCTCCTCTGTTGGTTCACACACTGTCTTCTCCAGTGGGGCGGGGGTCTCTGGGGCACGTACTTCCCTGGGATCTCCAGAGAAGACTCAGGTGGCCTCAGAGCACTGTGGCCCCAGCTTCCAGAGGCTTTGATTGGCTTGACAAGTACCCACAGCATCCTTGAAGCCGGTTTCAAAGGTGGGGGGGGGGTTTCCCTGTGCTGCCATCCAGCGAGGGAGGGGTGATTAGAGAGTTTTGCTGGCTAGGGAGGAGGGCCACAGACCCTCTGCATCACAAGGGTAATTTGAAACCAAGGGTGAATGGATGCCAAGTAACACCGGATAAAAAATTGTCACCAGGTAAGAAATTGGAGGGTAGCCCCTTCCACTCCATAAGCTTAAGCAAATTGCACCTCACTCTCTTTCTAAAGTGTCCCCCCCCCCACTTCTCCCAGGTTTCTGGTGCCAGCGTGTTTTTGTTTCTGCCTTCCAGATTAAAAAAAAAAAAGATTTATTGAACGTAGTTGATCTTTGATCAGGCCACTTATTTATCAGATTGTCGGAATGCTCTGGAGATAGCGTTAACACAAAATACTGCCTGATGTTCTGATGTGCGCGGGGTGTGGTGCGGCAGATCCCAGCTGATTGTTGAAAATCGTCCTCTTTCACAGGGTGGTGTGTGTCACTGGGGAAGAAGAGTTGAATAGGGGGAAACAGGTGTGGCCCTGCAGGCAGTCATCTTGAATACTTCAGTGATGTGCGATTTGGAGGAAGAAACGGATGCTTATGCACCTGCAGACGAGGCAGAATTGGTTGGGACAACAAATGTGGTAGATGTCAGAAACAGGAATATTGTCTGAAGACAGGAGAAGAAGCAACGGATGGAAACCAATCAAGTAGAGAAGCAGCCTAGAACTAAGGAGGAATTTCCTAACAGTGAGAACAATTAACCGGTGGAACTGCCTGCCTCCAGAGGTTGTGGGTGCTCCAACACTGGAAGTTTTGAAGAAGAGACTGGACAGCCATTTGTCTGAGATGGTATTATAGGGCCGTGGTGGCGAACCTATGGCATGGGTACCACAGGTGGCACGCAGAGCCCTCTCTGTGGGCATGCGCACCGTCACCCTAGTCCTAGTCCTTCAGCTGGGTTTTATAAAACCTTTTCGCTTTAGGTCTCCGCCGCCGTGTGCAAAAAATAAAAAATCAATCAGTCAATTTCAACTTCTCGCAGGGAAAAAAAGGTCTCGCAAAGTTGGAATTCATTGACTGAACATTTTAGTCCCACCCAGTCTGCTGTTACCACCAAAGCCACGCCCACTCAATGGGCCACACCCACTCAATGGGCCACACCCACCCGGCACCCGATGATACATAAGTAGGTTTTGGGTTGCATTTTGGGCACTCGGTCTCTAAAAGGTTCACCATCACTGCTATAGGGTCTCCTACTTGAGCAGGGGGTTGGATTACAAGACCTCCCAAGATCCCTTCCGTTAGTCCAGGGCAGTGTTTCTCAACCTTGACAATTTTAAGGCATGTGGACTACAACTCACAGAATTCCACAGCCAGCATTGCTGGCATTGCTGGCTGTGGAATTCTGGGAGTTGAAGTCCACATGCCTTAAAATTGTCAAGGTTGAGAAACACTGGTCCAGGGGTAGGCAACCACGGCTCTTTTAGGACTCATGGACTTCAACTCCCAGAATCCCTGAGTCAGCCATGCTGGCTCAGGAATTCTGGGAGTTGAAGCCCATGAGTCCTAAAAGAGCCGAGGTTGCCTACCCCTGCGTTAGTCTGTTAAAAATTAGGAAAGATCTGGACAATGAAGACCTGGGCGGAAAATATCCAAATGAAATTTAGGACACAAAAGTAAAGGTTCTTTAACTGAACAAGAAACCCAACACAGAGCTATATAAATAACTGGCTTGGTAACCACATTGGTAAGAAAGATTGTCACCGATTGCAAAACAAATGTGAATTGGCAAATCCAATGAATTTGCAAAACAGGCAAAAGCAGATTTAGGCTGAGAGGGGCTGGGCTCCCCTTTGTAGAGCAGTGTTTCTCAACCTTGACCATTTTAAGGCATGTGGACTTCAATTCCCAGAATTCCACAGCCAGCAATGCTGGCTGTGGAATTCTGGGAGTTGAAGTCCACATGCCTTAAAATGGTCAAGGTTGAGAAACACTGTTGTAGAGGATTACAGAGGCTGCAGAGACCCCGGACAGGGTCCGTCTTCACCCCTTCCTGCCGTTCAGGAGTGGGAGTCTGCAAAAGGCAACTGGGTGGAAAACCACATTTTATTAATTTTTATTCGTTTGAATGACCATCGCTTTCAGAAGGGGACTCTGGGCGGCGCACAATGAAGTGTTAAAATTTAAAAACAGTCTACAGTATATAAAAGTTAGATTGAGAAGGAGGCAAGGATATTGGGCAACATGATATCAATAGCAGAGATTTTCAGGTTTCTAGGTTCTATTATCTCCAAGGACTTCAAATGCTCATTTTTCATTAGAACCATCACTAAAAAGGCACGACAAGTAATGTTCTTCCTGCATCAACTCACAAAGCTCCAGGGGTAGGCAACCTTGGCTCTTTTATGGCTCGTGGACTTCAACTCCCAGAATTCCTGAGGCAGCTGGCTCAGACCGTCGCAGGAGCTGCTGATCCAGTTCTGCAGCGGAATTTTTGAGTCTGTGATTTCCACCTCAATAACTTTCTGGTTTGGCACAGCAACCAAATAGGGCAGGTACAGATTTCAATGGATGGTTAGGACTGCGGAAAAAACAATGGCAACCAGCCTGCCTTCCGTTGAGGACCTGTACACTGCACGAGCCAGTAAGAGGGCTGAGAAATTATCTACAGACCTCTCACATCCTGGACATAAACTGTTTCAGCTTCTCTCAGCATGCCGCTATAGACATATAGTTTTTTCCAACATGCCATCACTCTGCTGAAGACTTAATTGCCACAGCATGTCTCATTTTTTCTTATGATTTATTAGTTGTTGTTTGTAACTGTTGTAACTATGGTTATGACCTGCGGCCTATTACTTGCTGTTTATATGTACACTGTGAGCTTATGCACCCAAGACAAATTCCTTGTGTGTCCGATAACACTTAGCCAATAAAGAACTGTATTCTATTCTACATTCTATTATTCCATCTATTCTATTCTATATTATTATTCTATGCTATTCTATTCTAATTCTATTCTATTCTCATTCCATTCCATATTCTATTCTATATTATTATTCTATGCTATTCTGTTCTAATTCCATCTATTCTATTCTCATTCCATATTCTATTCTATATTATTATTCTATGCTATTCTATTCTAATTCCATCTATTCTATTCTATATTATTATTCTATTCTATTCTTATTCCATTCCATTCTATTTTATTCTTATTCCATTCTATTCTATATTATTCTATGCTATTCTATTCTAATTCCATCTATTCTATTCTCATTCTATTCCATATTCTATTCTATATTATTATTCTATGCTATTCTATTATAATTCCATTTATTCTATTCTCAGTCTATTCTAGATTTTATTATTCTATTCTACTCTACTCTATCCAGGGGACTCCAAACTTGGCCATGTCAAGACTGGTGGACTTCAACTCCCAGAATTCCCTGCCCAGCCTTCTGGGAATTGAAATCCACCAGTCTTAACGTGGCCAGGTTTGGAGACCCGATCTAGTCCAAAGGCCAAGGAAGGGCTTTCGAGCCATTAACCAGCCCCACGGGCCTCCCTGCTCCCCCCCATGGGGCTGCAGAGGTCGCTTTAAGAACGTTCACTTCAGCTCCCAGAATCCCCCAGCCTGGCTGAGGCATTCTGGGGGCAGAGATTCCGCTCTTTCTTCAATGCCGAGCTTCCCTAGGCCCAAATGGGGCAGAAAAGGAACAACAGGCACTCTGCGCAAGCTCAGAGACCCCCTGACGCCCAGATCACACCTTTACCGCTGGCGTGACGTCATTTTATACAGACGCGGCCTCCCGCGTGACGTCACCGCGCGCCGCAGCGCAAAAACGCCTCCGACAGAGGGAGGCCAGGCTGGGAACTTATTAAAAAAAAAGAGGGCGGGGCCGGGAGCGCGCCTGAGGTGACGTTCGCGGCGTCGCCCCGCAGTCTTGAGGGGAGGCGCGCCGGCGAGAGCGGGGGGTCACGTCCAACGACGTCGCTCCCCCCCTTCCCTCCCCGCCCCGCCGCTCCCCCGGCACGTGACACCTGCCGTCCGCCCGCCTGCGCGCCTTCGGGAGAGCCCGCATCACGTGACCCGGAGGAGGGAGGCCATCTTGGTTACAAACACAAACAAGCGGCGAGAGGAGGAAGGAGCGCGAGACGCGGAGCCGCAGAGCCGTGGACGCCGTCGCGGCCTCTTTCTCCTCCTCCTCCTCCGCCTCGGCCCCCCCGGCCCGCCCCCGCCGCCTCGCCACTCCACCCACCCACCCACCCACCCACCGGCGGGTAAGCTTCGCCGCGGGGGCTCCTCCGTCGCCATGGGAACCGGGGCTCCCCCCCCACACACACCCCTCCCTGCCCGCCGGGCCCCGCAGGAAGAAGAAGAAGGAGGAGAGGCGTCCCCGGTGCCGCTGCCCGCCGGCCCTGCCCGGCCCTCCGCGCACGTGCGGCCCCGCGTGGCCCGTGGGAGCGGCCCGCCCCTCCCCCTCCCGCGCCCCTTCCTCCGGCGGGGGGCGTGGCTTCCCCCGGGGGGCGCATTTCGTGGCTGGGAGGCCCTGCAGGGTCCTT